TTATTAAAGATTTATCATCTACTGAGCGCATAGAAACTTGGGAGTCATCAGTGTTCAAAATACATCACAAACCTCCTGCTGCCATAGAGCTTACATTCTAATGGAAAGAAAAGAGCTGCTGTAACAAACACAAGAAGTGAACCCTGAAGAATATGAGGTGATGAGGAGGTGAAATGGGAAGAGGCAGGGTTGGTAGGGCTGGCTAGTACAGTGGCTCTTAGCAGACTCCAGGAAGTGGGAGTGTGGGGTGCGCAGGGATGCCTGGGGCCACTGGCTCCAGGAAATGGGAGTGTGGGGTGTGCAGGGATGCCTGGGGCCACTGGTTCCAGGAAGTGGGAGTGTGGGGTGTGCAGGGATGCCTGGGGCCACTGGCTCCAGGAAGTGGGAGTGTGGGGTGTGCAGGGATGCCTGGGGCCACTGGCTCCAGGAAGTGGGAGTGTGGGGTGTGCAGGGATGCCTGGGGCCACTGGCTCCAGGCAGAGGGGACAGGCTCTAGGATGGGCAAGTGGTATGTTGGAGAAATACATGACAGTGTGGCTGGAGGTAAGAGAGTATATGATGGAAGAGTAAACGGAGAGGTGACAGGGTCTGAAGTCTTTTGGCCTTGCAAGTGCTTCCAGCTTCTCTGGAAGAAATCCCTCATTTGAGTTATACTCGAAAAGTATCCTTCTGATGGCTGGGAGAAGTCACCATGGATGAGCAGGAACTAAAACAGGGAGCCTGAGGGAAGAGATTCCTGCCATCCGTTATTCAGTTATTCACGTGGGGGTGAAAAGTGCCTCAGCCCTTCCACAGCAGGGGAAGGTGACAGAATTCCAGCAAGTCTTCAAAAGCAGAGCTCTGTGCTGGAGAGAAGGCTTGGTGATTGAAAGGTTGAAGCATGTGGTGCTCTTTGGGAGGACCTGGGTTCAGTTCTCAGAACCCACATCAGGCAGTTCACAATAGCCCATGACTCTAGGGTATCTGATGTCCTCTTCGGGCCTCTGCAGGGGCCTGCATAAACACAGTTCATGCAAACGGTCACACACATATGCATAAATAAAAATAGGTTTTTGTTTTTTTTAAGTAGAGCCAACAGAATTGGGGGAGGGAGCTGTAAGGAATCGGGGTGACTGCGGGGCTTTGTGCAGGGGTCTGGAAGACAAAGCAGTTTTTAGCACTTGGTGTTGGATATCTTGGAGGCTTTCAGACCTGCAAGAGAGGATGTCCAGTACAAGGCAGTTCAGGGGGGAGATATGGGGCTAGTGACGAAATTCAAGATATGATTCAAAGCACATTTGAAATGGCCAGTGGTCTGAGGAGACAGCTAAGCCATTAAAGCAAGCATAAGAACTCAAGTTAGAACCCCAAGGCCCGTGTAAAAATGCCAAATGTGCTAGCACATGCTTATAAGGCCAGTGCTGAGGAAGCAGGGCTCCCTGTCAGAGCAGCCTAGCCTGCTTAGAGAGTGCAGGCCAATGAGAGACCCTGTCTCAAGAAACATGTGATCTGGGTACGGGTGGTGTGCACCTTTAATCCCAGCACTCAAGAGGCAGGGGCAGGATGATTCCTGAGATTGAGGCCAGTATTTTCTACAAGACGAGTTTCAGATCTGCCAGGGCTGCATGGTAAGACACTGTCTCCAACAAGCAAACACGGAAACAACAAGAAAACAAGATAAACGGCTCCTGAGGGATGTAGTGGGTAGCCGGTCCAGCTTTGACCTGGAAGTTCCAACCCCTACTGAGGCTTCGGTAATTGTCACGCCTACAAGGCGGAGCCGAGAGAGGACCCTGAAGATCTGAGATCCGGATGCGCTGGCTCTCTTGGTTCCTGGATCCTGGATGCTGGAGGTAGACCGAGCAGAGTTCTCCAGAGAACACTGCTGGACTGTGCTTCACCTTTCCCAGACGCTGTAACCTATCCCTTCACTTGTAAGTTACCCGACAAAATAAACCTCCCTTTTAACTACGTGGAGTTGCCTTAATATTTAAACCAACATCTGGTGCCCAACATGGGGCACGAACCCACAACCCTTGGATTAAGAGTCCCATGCTCTACTGACTGAGCTAGCTGAAGTTTATCTCTGACCTCTACATGAACCCATGCACCTGCACACACACACACACACACACACACACACACCAAAAAAAATATCCAGAAGCACTCACATTCTACTGTGATACAATCATTTCAGGAGCCAAGTGCTAAAATGTACAAACTTTCAGCAGAGGAATTCTAGCATATGATCACACATAACTATTACTGTAGTGTACCAAGTTTGTACGCACATGAGCAAAGTTCCTCATGAGGACAATGTTTACAGTGAATCCAAAACCAAACAAGCAGACAAACAGACAAGCAAAACAGTCCCTGTAGCTTGCTACAGAGTAATGAGGAAAGGGTCCTAACACCTAGCATGGTATTTTGTTTTTTAAATAACAAAACTTGCTTTACAGATATCAGTGTTTCCAGTATAAGCAGGAAAAAAGAGCTATAACAAAATGGAAGTACTCTAATCAGTTGGGGAAAAAGAGCTGAGGATACTTTCATTAAATTTGTTAGTTGATCCTCTGTCCTGGGGATTGAACCCAGGGCCCTGTGAGTGCTAGGCCAGCACTCTCCCACTGAGCTGCACCCCCGGCCATCTTTCACTTGTTATTTTGAGACAGGATCTTGCTAAGTTGCCCAGGCTGACTTGCACTCTCTCTGTAGCCTAAGCAGACATTGAGTTTGCAATCCTCCTGCCTCAGTTTCCTAAGTAGCTGGGATGACAGGGCTATGTCACCAGGCCAAGCGTGTGTGTGTGTGTGTGTGTGTGTGTGTGTGTGTGTGTGTGTGTGTGTGTGTATACTGTCTGAGGTTTTGTTTTTGTGAATCATGACAATAGAAGTATTTGACATATGAAAGTAAAAACATAGTAAGAGAAGGTGTGCGAAACCAAGAGCCAGATGACGACAAGCAGCCGGCTGCAGGAGGGACTGACGTGAAGAGGGGCTCACCGGGAACTCCCTTTGTGCCCAGGGAGTCCCCTTGGGGAGGTGACTGGACTTATTCAGAAACTGAACAGAAACTGAATGCTATGTGCAGCAGGATCAGGAGTGGGTGGAGATCAGCCAGGCTCAAAGATTCTCGTAAATAGAGACAGGAGGCCGAAGAGGGGATGATGAGGGAGGAGGAAAGCAAGGGAAGCCGGGGGACAGACAAGGGTGGGGGTGTGGTAGAGCCACGCACATGAGGACTGGAGTGACCTTTGCCACCAGAGGGACTGGACATTGTGAGAGACATGGCCTTGGACAGGGCAGCTGAGCAGACAGTAAGACAGAGCATGCAAAGGACTCCCTGTGACTTTCTCTAAGACATCTGGACAGAGAGTGGAGAAAGATCATGGCAAAAATCAATGGTCCTGCCTTCCTGTCTGTCAGGGAAGGACACCCTGGAGCTTCCACAGTGGGGCGACTGCTAATGACAGGGCCGCCCATTCTGGGGAGACCCTCCCTTTACAATAGGGCCACACACACTCCGCTACCGTTCTGCCACTCTCCGGTGCAAAGCTCTTCCCTGCACCATTGGGAACCTGGATGTGTGTAGGAAACTGGACAGATGGTCTATTTGTTCATGTTCCTTCTGCTCACAAGCTACCCTTCCCGCACATACCAGACAACACTAGAGTAAGGAGTTAAAGAGGGGCCTACTGCAGTCCTGGAAATAGACTTGGGCTATTTGAGCAAATACTTGCAGGGTCCCAGGTGTCTGAAGGACAGGCATGAACATTTCACCTGGCTGGGTGAGCTCTTTACCTGCAGGGACCAGTGCAGAAGGGAGACAGCCAGAGCTGGTCCTTTCCAGTGCACACTTTAACACACGCACTCGGCTTTTCCTACTCTCATCTGTTCTTTAAGGGACCTTTCTACCCAAAGAACAGATGAGGGACAGACAAGGAGCAGCAGAAACGGCTCAGGTTTGTGGGTGAACATCCTGGGACTCAATTCAGGAAGTGGGTTTGGGGCTGTAGGGCAAGCACACTCACACCTCAATAGAAAGTGATTCTTTTGGCACCTGTGTTAAGCAATGTATCTGGAGGTACAGAATTGACAGTGTAGGAACATACATACATGTACGCAAAACACCCATACACACAAATACACCTTAATCTTTATTTATTTGTTTGTTTGTTTGTTTGTTTTGAGACAGGGTCTCACTATGCAATCCTGCCTGACATGGAACTTGCTACGTAGAGCAAGTTGGCCTCAAAGTCACAGAGATCTGTCTGCCTCTGCACCCTGAGGGCTGGGATTAAAGGTGTGGGCCATAATGCCCAGCTAGACCTCATGATTTGTATTGTTTGGGGTTCTCTAAAGGAACAGCATTAGTAGAATGAGTACAGATCACAAAGGAATTGTTAGACTGGCTCACACAACAGTGGCCGTCTGTACCTGGTAGCTGGCTGGTCCTTTAGACCTCAACAGCCCTAGCCTGGCAGTGAAGACAGAGGATTGCTGGAAAGCCACAGCTCAGGTTTCTGTAGTGATCCTCCATGATGGCTTGAGCTTCAGAGTGAGACCCTGACAAGGCTTTGCAGTCAGACTGTCCATTAAACTTCATAATAAGCTCACCTGTAAGAAAGGTGGTGCTGGGGCTGAAGAAGTGGCCCAGCCTTTAAGAGCACATGAACCCATGTCAGGAGTATCACAATTGCCTATTACTCCAGTTCCCGGTGACCTGACGCCCTCTTCTGGCCTCCATGGGCAACGGCACTCGTGTGCACATACACACAGAGAGACACACAAAATAAAAATAAATCTTTACCAAGAAAAAAGCAAAAGTGATGCTAGTTGGCACAGCGGCGCACACCTGAATCCAGCACTCGGGAGGCTGAGGAGGAGGCGGAAGGATGGTGAGTTTGAGGCCCATCTAGAACACCTAGCTAAACGTTAGAAATGTAAGCCTTTCCGATGACGACAGGGATGACGCTCTACTAAAGAAAAAAACTAGACGGAAGGGGCGGAGCCGGAAGCAGAAGTGGGAGCGGAGTCTGCAGCGTCTTCGTTGCCATGGAGCCCGGGAGCAGGGACGAGCCGCAATCCTCAGTTTCCCAGGCCAGTATGTCCCTAGAGACCGAGGGGACGTCCACGCCGCCCCAGAACAACTCCAGGGTCAACAGCTGGCGCATCAAGAAGTCTTCCTTGCAGTCCTCGCTCGGCATCACCGATAGTTACCAGTACGGCTTCCCCACGCGGTCCCTACGTGCTGGATTCCAAGCGCTCCCGCCGCTCCCGGAGCCACAGTTGTTGCGTCCGCGCCCCGCCTCGCTGCGCACGCAGGACATCTCACATCTGCTTGCCCGCGTCTTCCGAAACTTGTACACCGCCCAGGTGATCGGAGAGGATTTGAGTGACAGCTTGATCAAGGCCCGCGGCAGTGAGGATGCGCGCCACGAGGAGTTCTTGGACCAGCTGCAGCAGGTATATAGCGGGTGCGGACTCACTCTCCCTGGATATGCTCAGGATGCAGCCGCACCGAAGTGAAGGACACTATTCAAACTTTACATGTACGCATGTAAATGACATCTCCAGCGCCTTTCTCTGCACACATACACGTTCTATGTTGCAAATACAAATGAAACGACTGGAGCGCACTGCCCAATAGTTTGTTCCTTGGGGGTGATGAAACCCAGTCACCCTCCTCCCTGGGGGGACTCTATCGCTAACCACAATCATGGCTGAGGCATTCTTGCCCACGTTTTCAGATCTCTGGGTCGGCAACGTGGTTTCCTCTTCGGCACTGGGCAGCCAAACGATGAACCTGCCTTTGCCGGCTCGCTGTTGAGGACTCCCTTCCCAGCTCTCCCCTGCATCAGCCTCTGGATCCTTTCTTTTTCTTCTCCACTCCTGTCCTTTACTTGTCCCTTACACGACGTGGCCCTAGCTTCATTCATTTCCTGTCTAGCACATTTATTAACTACCTACTGTGTGCCGTACTCTTTCCTAGGCAGTGAGGATTCAGTAGCCCTGAATTCATCACAAGTGGCATACCCCTCAGTGGTAGGGTGCTTGCCTGGCAAGGGTAAAGCCCTCACCCCCCAGCAATGTAAACAAACAAACAGACAAAACTTTAAAAAGAAAATATAGAGGCTGATAAGATGGCTCAGCAGGTAGAAGTATCTGCTGTTATGCTGTGACACGCCCCCCGACACGCCCCCCCCTCAAGTATTATACCCCTCTCCCCCAGTGGCAGGATGTTGACGGACTCTGTCTTGGGCAGGTAATCATAGCAGAGTGAGATAGGACTGCAGTACCAGGTCGGCCCACCTCCCTCCACCCTTCGTCTGTTGTGAGCTTCCCTGAGCCTTGGAGGGAGGGAGGAACACAGAGCTCCCACGGATGACTCGAGATTCAGCAGGCCCTGAGTCTCAGTCCTGAGATTTTTTTTTTTGTTTTTGTTTTTGTTTTTCGAGACAGGGTTTCTCTGTGTAGTTTTGCGCCTTTCCTGGATCTCACTCTGTAGCCCAGGCTGGCCTCGAACTCACAGAGATCCGCCTGGCTCTGCCTCCCGAGTGCTGGGATTAAAGGCGTGCGCCACCACTGCCCGGCAGTCCTGAGATGGAGCTCTGCAGTTACTACTGCGAAAAGGAGCATCTCTGCCCACAGAGACGAACACTACTCTGATTGTTGAAAGCACTGGCTCTCTTGGTCTGAGGTCTCCACACAGTCTTGTTGGTCTTTCCCAGTTCTAGCCACAGAAATACTGTACTGTGTGATGATTGTAAGCACACATGCTTAAAATACATCCTCCGCCTTGAACCCTGCCTCCACCACATACAACCTGTGTGATTTTATGCATTTTTTTTATTTCTGTATGCCGTGGTGCTTTTCATCTATAAGAGGAGAGGAGGGTAGTGCTAGGAATGGTGGGGTACACCTTTAATCCCAGCACTCGGGAGGCAAAGGCAAGTGGACCTCTGAGAGTTCAAAGTCAGCCTGGTCTATAGAGTGAGTTCCAGTCCCTATCCAGGGTTACACAGTAAGACAAAAAAACAAAACAAAACAAACTTAAAAAATGATGGTGACGACAACAATAACAACAAAATCTGCTCTGTAGGTTGTTTTGAGGATTAAGTGAGTCAGTCCTAGAGAATCATTAACAGATGCCTTCGGGTAGGATCCTGACTATCACATCCAAGAATTAGGGCCAGGGCCTTCTGGACCGTATGGGACACCAGACTTAAGCACAGTACTTTATGTTCAAGTCTGCCCTAGCTTCTGCTTTCTCAGAGGTTTTCTAACCACAAGAAGCCTTAGCCACCACCTCCTGGCCTCCATTGCATACCCATTCATCTACTTTCAAGGACTGGCTAGAGCTGGGGAGGTGAATCTGAGGGTTGAGACATCTGCTGCCTCTCCTGACCACCTGAGTTTTCTTCCCCAGGATCCACATGGCACAAGGGGAGAGCTGGCTTCCCTAAGCTGTCCTCCGGCATCTATCATAAGCTCCCAACAGCATATGTGCACCCGCCAACAGATAGACAGATAAGAGTGACTCCATAGGTGTGTTTGAGTTCAAGAAAAGCACTGAGGCATGCTCTCCCCACACACTACTGTCGTACTGTCCCTGCCCCGTGAATACTTTGCTTCCTTCCAGTCTCAAGAATACGGGTAAGAGGCTTGGGTGATTGGCTTGTCGATCTAACTAGTCTGGAAGCTGAAGCGTATGCTGGGGCAACCAGGATGGACTCTCAATGCAGATGCTATGGCAGAGCTTGGGGTTTGCTAGGGTTTTAAGGTAAAACAGGGTTAAGTCACAGAAGGTGAACCAGTAACTTGGAAAATTCAGTAGGTTGGGGGCCTAGAGAGAAGGTTCGGTGGATGAGAGAGCTTAGAGCACAAATTCAGGTCCCAGCACCCACATAAAACACCGGGCATGGCCACGCCTGCCTGTAACTCCAACACTGTCTTGGGCGAAGGTAGGGGGATCGCTGGGAATGGCCATCAAACCTGCTTCCAAGTTCAGGGAGAGAACCTGTCTCCAGAGAATATGGTGGAGAAGATAAAACAGAGCGCCCAATGTCTTCCTCTGGCCTCTGCATATGCATGCATGCACACACATATAAACACAGGTAGCATTTAAAAATGTTTTTTTATGTATGTGTATGTGCATAGATGTGTATCTGTGTTTTAACACGTGTGGGGAGGGGGCAAAAGAGCGTGATGGATTCCCTTGGAACTGGAGTGACAGGTGGTTGAGCTGACTGGTGTGAGCACTGGGAACTGAACTCGGGTCTTCTGGAAGGTCAGCTGCTAACAGCAGAGCCCTGTCTGCAGCCTCTCGTCCCCATCCAAAGAATGCAGCAACTTTTTCTGGGTAGCATATCATCTGACCATGTTCCTCTTAGGATCCAAATAGCTATGACTTTATGTATATTAGATGTGGATGCTACAAAAAAGATGCCACCTCAGGTGAGTCCTTTCCAATGGCTTAAATAGACAAAAGAGGCCGGGCGGTGGTGGCACATGCCTGTAATCCCAGCACTCGGGAGGCAGAGGCAGGTGGATCTCTGTGAGTTCAAGGCCAGCCTGGGCTACAGAGCGAGATCCAGGATAGGCTCCAAAGCTACAGAGAAACCCTGTCTCGAAACCCCCCCCCCAAAAAAAAAGACAAAAGAGGCTAACAGCTGGAGTCTGTCCACCGACTAGGTGTGATGGAGCTAAGCCAGCAGGGCCTTTCCTGAATGGAGATTTGGGTAGCCTCACTTTGGTGTACCAAAATGGGTTTGCATTTCACAGTACGGGTGGCGGCTCTCGTTACTGTGAAACCAGGACACAGAGCCAAGCTTGGCTCTTACTGACCATCCTATGAAACTGTCATTTCCTTCTGTTGACCTCGGATTTTACATCTGGTAGGTTGGACCGGAGGGTTTCAACAGTTGTGTAGCTGTCCTGTGCTTGGCTGAAAGCCCTGATGTGGAAGGTCCTAGGGTAGTGCCAAGATGTGGGCTTTCATCAGATTTCTATGCATTTGAATGCCCACTTGCCAGGTTCGAGCGATCTATAAACAGCGTCTGGATGAAGTTACCAAGTTGGAGAAACATATCGTCCAGGCCCGTGCACGAGATCTTGCAGAAACAGAGCATGCCACCAAAGAGGCCAGACTAGATGTCCTGGAGACCCCTGTCAAGCTGCCCCCAGGTAGGTGTGAAGTGTGCCCATCTGCCAGCCTCTGCTTACCCAGCTGTTGGTGCTGAACCACATCCGCTCCACTGCCCACTCCTCTCTGAACATTGGGAGAAAGTTGAGAAAGTTGCAGACATGACAGTTAATCAGTACAAAACACTCTGGTGTGTTTGGTCTCTCCAAAAGAGCGGCGCTCCACCTGGCCAGCATTTAACCCTCCAAGCCAGGAATTGGCATGTGTGTGACACTGGTTCCTGACCCACAGGGCCCACTTAGATTCCACTGGTGACCCCACCATGGCTTCCTCTCCTCTGACCTTTCATGCCAAGCTCTCCATGTAGGCTGGGCTGGCTGGCTAGTGAGCCCCAGGAATTTGCCGGTCTCTACCTCCCAAGTGCTGAGATTACAGTTGTGTACCACCACAGGAGCCCAGTCGGGATCGTCCGCTCTGGTTTCTTATCCTTCTACTGGTAATGTGTTTTCCTTCATTTCAAAAGTGGTAGAGGAAAAAAACAAACCCTAGATCATCGTTACAGACATCCATCTGGTCCCTGCATCTCAGGGTAGGGCAGTCAACCCCAGGACGTCTTTCCCCATTTAGTTCTTGGTGATGGAGAAATCCTCCTATTGCTTTTGTTACTTCAGGCACGAAGCAGCCTTTCTCTATCCACTAATAAATACAATTATATTGAGTTATTGAGCTGAGGAACCTTTCCCTTCTCCAGATGGACCGAGAAAGGTCAGGACTCTACAGGACAGCTTATGTGCTCGTTCTTGTCCTCGCTGGTCACTGGTCCACACTAGCTTTTGGAGATTGGAACAACCAGCCACTTGCAGAGCCGTGCTCAGTAGCCGTGGGGTCAGTGAAGGAAATCCAGACTTCCCAGAAAGAAGAAGGCCATCATCAGGGCCAATGAGAAAGTTTTTTTTACAGGTCCGGGTCTGATATGGAAAGAGACTCTTCAAAACTCTGATAGAGAAACTGCCTTGGTGAGGGCTGGAATGATGGTTCAGTGGTTAGAGCATGTACTGCTTTTAGACCTGAGTTCAATTCCAAGTACCCATCAGGCAGCTCACAACTACCCACAACTCTAGCACCAGAGGATCTGATGCCTCTGGCTTTCTCCAGCACTTGCTCTTCCCACCCACCCCTTCCAGGCATGAGCACACACACACACACACACACACACACACACACACACACACACACACTTAAATTCTATTTTAAAACTGCTTTGAAGAAGATGTACAATGATAAGTGTGTAAAAATATAAAGAAGTTCGTTATTTTATATGCCAACACAAAGAACAAAGCAACAGAGAAACCACTCTGACCTCCTGCCCCTGAGAGGATGAAGAGGAGGAAGAAAAGGAGAAGACGCTTCTCTCTGTCACGTGGCCATCTCCAAAGTCCCTAAGAGTTAGGCTGGATTGGGCTCACTTGGAACTGCAGTTATCCCCACCAAAGTCTCCCCTGCCAGGGGGTTCAGGGGCTTTACTTTCAAAAGTGCACCTTCTCCGTGGTCCCAGAAGCCATCAGAAAACGCCCTGGGGAGTTCTGGAAGGAAAGCCTCCAGAAGTAGTAGCTTTCTGGGCAATGATGGCACAGACCTTTAATCCCAGCACTTGGGAGGCAGGGACAGGCAGATGGATCTCTGTGAGTTCAAGTCAGCCTGGTCTACAGAGTGAGTTCCAGGATAGCCAAAGCTACACAGAGAAACCCTGTCTTGAAAAAACAAAAACACTCAAACAAAAAAAAAAAGCAAGTAATAACTTGTAGGTGATTTGCTAGCTGTCAGTTCTTTTTTTAATTGTTGTTTACTTCTTGATTGATTTTTAAATATTAATACATATGTGTCTGTATGGGTATATGCATGCACATAAGGGCAGGTACCCTCAGAGGCCAGCAGAGAGGCCAGCAGCTGGAGTTTCAGGTGGTTTGTGAGCCACCAGATGCAACCCTCTGCAGGAACAGCAAGTTCCCTTAGCCACGCCCTGGCGCCAGCCCTGGCTCTCCGTTTTGGAGTTGCCTTCAGATGACTTATTGAGAAACTTCTGCTTCCCCCGGCCTCTTCTGCCTCAGCCTGTAATACCCAGTACTCAGCCCTTTCCATCTGCTGTGCTGGGAGTGGCTTCTGCTTCAGGCTCTGATGGTTTACTTTAGGCCGAACCTCGGGATCCTTGTCAGCACCTATGAGGGCAGAAGCAGGAATTCCTTCATCACTGGGTGCTAGGGATTGGCCCCCAAGGCTTTATGCATGCCAGGCAATTACTCTACCAACTGATCTGCATCCCCAATCCCTAAAGGAACTTCTAACACAGCGGAAGAGGCTCCACCCATATCTAGCACTATAGACTTGTTTAAACACAGACTAGCACCAACGGTGAACTCTCCCTTAAGACATGGACTTTGTGTGATGGCGACGTCAGTGTGGGCTCATTATTTGTAGCAAGTGGGCTGTTCTGTGGAGGATGCCAGTATTGGGGAAAGCTTCACATGCACAGGAACAAAGGGACATGGAAACTGTCCGGCCTTCTCAGTTTGGGTGCTAATTTCTAACTACAAATCTGACAAGATGGCTCAGTGGGTAAAGGCCCTTGCTGCCAAGCCTCACAACAAGAGTTTGGTCCTCGGACCTGTGTAACAAAGGAGATCAACTGCCTCCTGCCACTTGTCCTCTGACCTCCACACATGCACTGTGGCACCTCCATGCACCCCTCCAGCACACAATAACAAACAAATGTAATCCAAATACAGCGAAAGTCCATTTTAACAAAGCCCTTCTCACATCTCCCAGAGGGAGGTCACATCTCCCTCACATCACTTACCATCCATTTCTAGTTAATGCTTCTAGACACTAGTGTCATAATTTATATGTGTGTGTGTGTGTGTGTGTGTGTGTGTGTGTGTGTGTGTTTTTTACTATCATTTCTTGGCTCATCAACCACAAACCCCAACTTCCACTCCATTAATGACTTTCTCTGATATGTCACTAGGTCAGTGGGAGTTAGCTGATGCTATATTTATTGCTTGCTGTAGATTGGGCTCAGCTGTTCTCCACGCAGCTTTTATGCTGGTGTCTGAGACGAAGGGACAAAGAAACCCTTCTCTTTGATGGCCAGAGCTCACTGTGCAAGCACATCTCAAACCCTTACCACCACAGAGCCAAAGGTGAAGAAGAACATTCTGTTGAGGCAAGAAGCATAGGGAAGGCCTAGCAACGTGGAACTGTTGCTCACTGCTTAAGCCATACGCACACACTGCTTTCCTAACAATGAACAACCTGAGACCCCCGCCTTCTTCAAGCTGCATGTACACCCCACTTCAAACAATGCAATAAATTGTCCCCACAGCAATAATTCCCTGTTGCCATGTATGTCTTGGAACATGTCCAAGAACTTAGGGCTGCCTAAGCCAGTTTGGGGTGCATGCACAGTAAGGCAAATGGACTGTCTTATGCATATGCATAATTGGGCGTACGTATACTTAAAATCAGATACATCATGAGAAAGGACATGCACAATAAAGGGAAGCTTGCATAATCCAAGTCTGTCAACAAAACCAGACCCACTCACAGAACTCCCCCTAGCCACCAACTCTTCCTCCTGGACTTATGAATAAAAAGAAGCCCCCGACAATAACCAAGCCAGCTGGACACTCTAGTTCCACTCTTCGTGTGTGCTTTTCCATGAACCTGGAAACACCTGGCTAAGACTGTGGCCATTGGTCCCACTGTTTCCAGTGACATTGCAAAGAGCAGACATACACAGAAGAGCGAAGGACTGGGGCTGACGTTGCATCCACCATACTTTGCCTTATGCCATCGCAGACTCCATGTATAATAGTACTTTACCTCAATAACCCTGAGCACAGCTTTGCCCAGTTGTTGACCTCAACTGAGTGACTGAGAAAACTTTGATCATTAGTTTCTTAAATCTCAACTTCATCACAGCTCTGAGAATTTGCTTGGGAAGTGGAGGCACGGAGCATAGAGGTTTGGGTTCAGCTGCTTCTCCCTGGGTCTGGCCTAAATGCCTCTGTCCTGTTCCCTTCTCTGCAGTGAAGACAGTCTTCAGGTGGTGTATAGACAATGAATTGCTGCAAAAACATCGCTTAATCTGTGTAGAGGATTACTGCAATGATCCTGTGCCATTTTGCTCAGCGCCCAAAGGTATCTGTCTTCAAGCACTGTGGTAGGGTGCAGGGCCATCCCTCAGTAGCTACAGGGGCGTCCCTCAGTAGCTGAAAGGCATCCCGCAGTAGCTGCAGGGCCATCCCTCAGCAGCTGCAGGGCATCCCTCAGCAGCTGCAGGGGCATCCCTCAGTAGCTGCAGGGGCATCCCTCAGTAGCTGCAGGGGCGTCCCTCAGTAGCAGCAGGGCATCCCGCAGTAGCTGCAGGGCCCTCCTTTTCTTTAGTTGTTCAGTGGACTGGACCGGTTCCATCTGGGTCATCCCTTCTCACTAGCTTGACGCTTCCAAGGCAGAAGTCACATCTCCCCCACATGGAATTGGATGCCCTTGGTGGCTGCCCAGCACCTAGAAATCCAAAAATGTTTAGATGTAGTTGAATGAACCAGCAAAGGGAGGGGCTGAAGACTTGGAGACGCAAATGATTGAATTCCTGATGCAGGCAGAGCGGACCAAGGTTGTCCCCACTCAGGAAAAGAACAGCTTTTCAAATACTGAGAATAGAAAGGATGGGCTAGGGGATGGACAACAGGGGAGGGGAAGACAAAGGGGTGTGTGTGTGTGTGTGTGTGTGTGTGTGTGTGTGTGTGTGTGTGTAGTGTGGGGGGGGATTGTGATGCTGGGCCAGTTTCCTCTAATCAGGAAGGCAAGAGTGAACAGGTGGGAATGTGTGCAGGCTTACACAAGGATGTAGATTCTGTAAGAGTCGCTGTACAGGTGGAGAAATGTCGCTGTGAGTCCTGTGTGCCCAGCATCAGCATTGTTTAACTGTGCCAGGCTGGAAAGACAAGCTCTCAGCAGCCCCAGGTACAGGGACCCTGCAGTGATCTTTTTGGAGCTTTGTAGCTGTCCCTGTTTGGGATGGGAAGATTCAGATCCAGGGATCTGAGTGAGGGTGGCAATGAGAAGGAGAGAACCACACAGAGAAAGGTAGAACATGGCAACAGAATCAGCTGCTGAGAGGCTGCACCACTTTAGTGCGTTATGGCTGGATACTCACTACCTGGCAGGTAAATAAAGATGGCACTCACTCCTTGAAGGCTTACTGGGCATTGTATAAAGTGGGGGTGGGCCAGTGTTTTGTTGTATCCTTACTAGCAACAAAAGTTGCCATCCAGCCTTGGGAGCATGGTCTTAGAAACACAGAAAACTAACACAAATGCTGATCCCTCACATGAGGTTTTTTAAAGAATTGCTCACACTTGGGGTATGTGTTTAGCAATGGTCCACTGTTTTTGCTAATTAACCATTCTGGAAAATGGAAAGATATTTTAACCTCTAGCCCTGTCTCAAATGCGTGGAGTAAGTCCCAGGAATAACTCATACACTGAATAGCAATGTTGGTGTTGTGAATGTGAAAGCTTTGAAGACAATATGACCTGACTGTGGCTCTGATTTTATTTGATCACCTTTAAAGCATCCACTTCTTTGCTGTGGTATAGCTAACATGTGTTTCCTCGGTGCCATAGGCACCTCCGCCCCCGGGGCTCTAAAACTGACTCTTAGTTGTGAGAGGCGCTTTATGCTAAAGGCCAAGCTGGACAGGCTGGCTGAAGAGTCCTGCAAGAAGCCGGTCAAATTTGATGAGTTTGAGTACACCACAGACAGCGGGACCTCAACTTATAAGACCAGACAAAGGACCAAAGTCACTGTCAAGGTTAGATCTGAATTTCGTTGGGACAGTGGGTGCAGGGAGGTGGGCAGAGGGAAGTAGTCCAGATGAACATGGAGTCTGCGCCGGCTAGCTGTCCCTTACCTACCATTAACTGCACTTTCATGTGCTTCAAAGAAGGCGGGCACACCAAAGAATAAGAAGTGGATGAAACACTTACGGGTGCCACAGAGGGGCCTGGAGAGGCTTCTGCTTGCCAGGATGGAGAATCGGAATCATTTCCTGAAAAACCCGCGGTTTTTCCCGCCTAACACACCACATGGAGGCAAGTCTCTAATTGTCTCTTCAAGGAAGCCAGCGAGAAGAGGAGGATCCCTGAGTGCAGAGCCGGAATGGAGGTGTGTTCTCCCCTGAGAATCCCAGGAAATCTGACCCTTTAAAGTGAGATGGGAAGTTTCTGGATTAGTCTAAGGAGGTCTCTAGACTTTGGCAAGTCAAGGTAGTGTCTAAGAGGAAAGCATGCCTTCAGGGTGACCCACAGGTATGACCTTTGACCCTCAGAGGCCTGGGGTTGTGGCTTTCTCACCTATCAAGAGTCAGAAATAGTGCTGGAGAGTTGGCTCAGAGGTTAAAAGCACTGGCTGCTCTTCCAGAGGTCCTGAGTTCAATTCCCAGCAACCACGTGGTGGCTCACAATTATCTATAATAAGATCTGGTGCCCTCTTCTGGCGTACAGGCATACATGCAGGCAGAGCACTGTTCACATAATGAATAAATCTAAAAAACAAACAAATAAAAAAAAGTAAGTGGGCTTCTTAGGGGCATCTGAATGAGCTGGGACTGGGGAGTCCATAGTCATGTGACCTTCCCACAGTGTATTGGTTACTTTTTTTCATGGCCATGACAAAATACCTAACAAGAACAATGTGGGAAAGGTAAGATTGATTTTGGCTCTGGGTTCAGAGGGTTCAGTCCATCATGGCCAGGAGGATGTGGTGGACCGGAACAGTTCACTTTGTGGTCACTAGACATGGGGGAAGGGGTTGTTCAGCTGGCTTCCTGCCTTTCCCCCTTTCATTCAGTTTTAGGGTCCCGGCCTGTGGGATGACACTGCCCACGTTCACTACGCTCCTCTTCCTCCTCAGTTAACCCTCTCAGGTGGTTGTGAGCTGCCTGTGGGTACGATGTGGGTACAGGAAACCAAGCTTGGAGCCACTACAAGAGCAGTATGTGCTCTTAGCTGCTGAGCCATCTCCTCAGCCCTAAAATGTTTTATAACCTGCTTAGTAAACACCAACCAGAAAACCCGAGGAACAGCCTATTGTGAATGCCTTTGATGGTGTGGATGAGTTTATTTCTTTACTTTTGGTTTTTTGAGAGAGGGAGTGGACTAATGGAGGCTGGCCTTGAACTTCTGGTGGTCCTGCCTCTACCTCCCGAGAGCTGGGACTGTGGGAGTGTGCCATCACATGGATCAGTCACCGCTTTCCATCGGGTCAAACAGGCGACGCCCACAGCCTTTCTTCCCTCGTCTCTTCCACAGCTGTGCAGATACCCCCGTGTTTCTGGCTAAGCCGTCAGTTGGATTTTTCACAGATTATGAGATTGGACCAGTTTATGAGGTAGAAACCTTGCTTTACGTCATGGGGTTTCTGAACCACACACAAAAGTAGGGAAAAGACTAATGCACATCCATGTGGCTGTCGCCCAGCCTCAGCAGCTGGTCGGTGTCTTTTTCCTCCACCACGTCTCCTCTGGAGTGTGTCGGAGGAGGCATACACAGCATGTCATTAAGTGTCTCTAGCACACAGGACTTTAAAAAAAAGAACCATAAAGTGAGTGAGGCAGTGAAATCCTGTCATCCCCATGCTTGGGAGGGGGAGGGGAAGGGGAGGGGGGAAGAGGGGGGGGCCCATGCTACTCTCAGCTACGTAGGATATCAGATGCCAGACTAGGGTACATGAGGTCTTGTCTTAAAGAACAAAACAGGGCCTGAGAGATGGTCAGCAGTCAAGAGCGCTTACTGCTCTTGCAGAGGACCTAAGATCGAATCCCAGACTCCACTTCAGGTGGCCCGTAACTGCCTGTAATGATTCCAGTGTCTCTGAGCTCCACAGATGCCCACACTCACATGTGCATACCTGCACACAGACACATGCACACATACACATAATTTAAAAAAATAAGTCCTAAAAACAGTAGATGTATTTATATGTATATATGAATGAGAATAACATGTCTATAGTTGCGAGCATTTATAAATAAGGAAAGAGGGAAGGCCAGATTGAATTTGATGCTGCTGGATTGTAGTGGAGGTACAAACATGGATTTATGATTTATGGGGAATGACTCTGTGGGTAAAGCGCTCACTGTGCAAGCGTGAGAACTGGAACTTGGATCCTCAGCACCCAGTGTGAACAGTGCAGGCTGCCCATCTGCTCTCACCCAGCCTCTCCTGTCCTGTATAGTCCAGGACCCCCTGCCTAGGGAATGGTGCCACCCAACAGGCCAGGTCTTCCTTCACAATTAACAATAAAGACAGCCCACAGGTCCACCTGATCTAAATAATCCCTCACCGAGACCCTTCCCGGGTAACCCGAGGTTGTACCAGGCTGCCATTTGAAAGGAGCACCACAGCAGGTTATGTGGAAGTGTTGTGCTGTTCTGTATAAAGGGACTTAACTACAGGTCTGGGTCCCTGCTGCGTTCCTGAGCCAATCACAAGCCCCTGAGCACTGACAGTCACGACAGCTATCGCTTTACGTGTCAACAACAGGTGTTTCATCAACTCCAGTTTTCCTTCTACTTTGTATTTTAACCAGGGAAGGATGATTTTTTTTGTTTGTTTGTTTTTTGAGACAGGGTTTCTCTGTGTAGCTTTGCGCCTTTTCCTGGATCTCGCTCTGTAGACCAGGCTGGCCTCGAACTCACAAAGATCCACCTGCCTCTGCCTCCCGAGTGCTGGGATTAAAGGCGTGCGCCACCACTGCCCGGCGGGAAAGGATGACTTTAAAACCCTTCCTCAGACAGGGTCTTACTCCGTAACCCATGCCAGTCCCCAACTCACTACATAGCCCAGGCTAGCCTGAAACTCATGGCAATCCTTCGGCCTTGGCCTCTCAAGTGCTGGGAACGCAAGTGTGTGCCACTGTGCCCGGCTTTGTATTTTAATTTTACTATGGAAATGTCCCCAGATGAAAGTAAGTAGATGAGCAAAACGAACCCCCATGTACCTGTCACCCCACTTCAGTAATTACCAACATGTGGCCAAGCTGATTTCTCTCAGAACCCTCTTCCTTCCCACACCGTTGGAGTTTGGGGTGGTGAGATGGCTCAGTGGGTAAAGGAGCTTGCCGCCAAGCCTGATGGCCTGAGTTCTGTCAGAGAAGCCCCGTGGAGAAGGAGAGGACTGACTCTTACAAGCTATCCTATGGCCGCCAAACAAGCGTGTGAGTGCACGTGCACACTCACACGCACATGCACACATGCACGTGCATACACACACACACAGAAGTCAGTCAGTCAGTCAACCCTGACCTCAGCCCGCAGCACCGTCGACTGGCTGAAAGGACCCCCACCTTTACCTCTGCGCAGATGGTAGTCACTCTCCAGAACACCACTGCGACCAGCCGGTACCTGCGAGTCCTCCCACCGTCCTCTCCGTACTTCGCTCTGGGGCTTGGTAAGTTCAGTATAGCAGCATTCTAGACTGCTTCAAAATGATGTGCAGGACTGGCCACTGGTCTCTGATGAGCTGGCTCCCAGGCCCTGTCCACGCCTCCTTCTGCAGTCCCTGGGGTCCCTCAGGCTCAGGGTCCCAGAGTCTTGTCTGTCTGTCTGTCCACTCTGCTCAGTGCACTGGTTCTGCCAACTCCCCACCCTTCACGCTGTGGCTACCCTTGATCAGGTACTCTGCATTGCTTACATCACCATGGCAACCCTCCAACCAGTCTCCCGTCACCTCAAGGCCTCTGGTCTTGGTCAGGTGTGGTGGTTCCCACTTGTAATCCCAGCACTTGGAAGGCCTAAGGAAGAGGATTGACACAAATCTGAGGCCAGCCCAGGTGAAGAGTGAGAAAATATCTTACCAAAGAGAAAACACAGCAAAATCCTCTTGCCGCTCAAACGCACAAATCTCAAAGGGCTCTCTGCTGCCCACGAGATAATCCCTATGCCATAGAGGCAGATGACCTCCACCTACGCATTTCACGTTGGTCACCTCACTCCCACTTGGGTACTGTTGCCTTAGTACCTCCCTTGCGTGCCCCAGGCAGCTCTGCCACCAGCCTTGGCCCAGCTGTGGTTGGTGTCTGTTGTATGACTTTTCCAGGGAAGATGTGAGCTAACATCTCTTCATCCCAGAAAGGCCCTGGTGACAGAGTCATGTGACCATTCCCACCAAACCGAACTTGGTGAACCAATGAACTTGCTGGGTTACTTCCAGGAACTCATAGGTGACAAAAAGGCTGCTGTGTCACCAAGAGTTTCATCCCGGTGTGAGTGACAGTCCTGAAAGCAGCATCCCTGGAGCTCACCGCCTAACTCACAGGCAGTTCCACAGAAGAGTCTCCCCTCTCTCGGCAATCGCTCCCTGCTTGCTAGCCTCGTGAGGGGGCCTCACGAATCTTGAGGCTTGTGCCGGGCTCCCAAGTCTTAGGGAGCGATTGGACGGAAACAGATATACTCTGACTTCTGAGGAGGACAGCCCAGGCCCCGGTGGGCAGCTAGTCCTTCATCCTCATTGGCCGCTTCCGTGGTCCACAGGGATGTTCCCAGGAAAAGGTGGAATAGTGGCTCCTGGGATGACCTGCCAGTACGTTGTCCAGTTCATTCCGGACTGTCTTGGGGACTTCGATGATTTCATTTTGGTTGAGACCCAGTCTGCCCACACACTGGTGATCCCCCTGCAGGCCCGGAGGCCGCCCCCAGTCCTGACCTGTGAGTATGCATTGCACCTTCAGAGGGATTCAGTTAGGGCTGGGAAGCCCCTGTAAGGATGGACAGCATCTTAGGACTTCCTGGAAGGGGCACAGGTCCTGTATCTCTTGGGTAAAGACTTCAGAGTCCTGAAAGGGCCTTCTAGCAGCTTCCACACCAGCAGGCCTTCTCCCGTCTGCAGGGGTTGCTTCTGTGACGCAGCAGGGGAAGGTGAATGGTCCCAGGCACCCAGAGGAAAGCTCTGTAGGTGCTGACTCCGGTGCTGGGGAGGCAGGGAGGCGTCGTCAGAAAAGCCAGGTTCTGCTGGTCCCTCTCGGGTACGAGATCCTTCAGCTGGAACTCAGCCCATCCCCTGATTTGTTCCACAATGCCCAAGACCATGTTGGATCTTCCTGGCCCAGATGGGGGTCTACAGTGAGTGTTGACTCCTCCAAGACTATGACCATGTGACCGGCAGCACCCTGGACAGAGCCCAAGGGTCTTAGTGGTCATTGCATACCACCCTACTTACCCTTCCTTCTCCGTGTGGTGGGCTGCTCCGAGCTCCAAAACGATGACAGCAGGGTCCATTCAGAGTGATGTGTTGTCCTTTTTTAATTAAAATTTTTATTACATTTATTTATTATACTTACATGTATGGGGTCGGGGAGACACATGTGCCATGGTGCTCATGTACTTGTCAGAGGACCGCTTTATAGGAGCTGGTTCCCTCTTTCCACCATGTCGGTCCAGGGGCTTGAACTCAGGTCATCAGGCTTGGCAGCAAGCACCTTTATCTGCTGAGCCATCTCACCAGCCCCATGTTGCCCTCCCTGAGCAACCTTTTCCCATGGCTGTAGTGTCACCGGTATTGGACTGTGGCCACTGCCTCATTGGAGGAGTGAAGATAACCAGATTCGCCTGCAAAAACGTGGGCTTCAGCGTTGGCAAATTCTGCATCATGCCCCAAAAGAGCTGGCCGCCGCCCAGTTTCCGGGTGAGTGACTGTAGATCGCTTCCTGGGAAAAGAACAAACCACCCAAGGAAATGAGCTCCATGGAGGAGGCTGCTGCATCACACCGGGGACCAGAAACTTACAGAAGTAGGGTGTTGTGATCCCCAGATCCAGCTGTCGTGGCCCGAGAACAAATGTGTCGAGGGCAGGGATATGCCTCTGGTTACGAGCAACCCCCCCCCCCCCCCCCGCGCGCGCAATCCTGGGTGAGGTGTATCCTCCCTCTTGTTTTATAATTCAGTCTCACTGAGTTCAGCTTTATTATAGCACATCGGAGCAGTATGGGAGAGCACAGGCAGGCGGCTTTGGTTGAATTCTGCTGGTATTTATTTAGCACAGTACTTAAAAATATTTTGAGGTGGGGAGATGGCTCAGACGGTGAAGTGGAAGAACCTGTCTGATCCTCAAAACTCACATAAAAAAAGCCACTCTGGCATAATCCTGAAGGTGTGAGGCAGACGGTGAGCCTGGCCCTCGCCGGCCGGTCAGCTTAGCCTGCTCGGCGAGTTCCAGGCCAATGAGAGTCCCTGTCCCCAAAAGCAAGGTGGACAGCATTGCTGGAGGACAGTGTCTGAAGCTGCCCTCTGTCCTTCACATGTACACATGTGTACCCATGCACACGAAATGTTTGAACCAGCTGTTGAAAGGAGGAGACTGCACGTAAGTGCCTGTACCTCTGGGCTCTTTGCTGTGACCTCGTGGGACCAGGGAGCAGAGCTCTTGTCCTGTTATCTTTGCTCCGCACTGCCCAGGCAGCCCCAGCCCGGCACCAGTGACATCACGTGTACTCCGCAGTTTCTGTCACAGTGGGTAGATTTCCCCGTGCCTTCTGGCCTGGGAGTATGAGACAGACCCAGAAACCTCCCTTCCCGGAAGTGTTGGCTGCTGGGCAGGATCTTGTAAGCACCAGTTTGTACCTCTAGCCCAGAGGTTTTGTGTGAAATCCACGATTCTGTTACCAAGTTGACAGGTGTCCTTGTGACTCAGAAGCACTCGGGGGTGGTCAGGGACAGAGGCAGACATGGTGGCCACCACAGGCAGAACCAGGTGTTCTGGGAAGCCCTTCCTGTACGTCTCATGTCCCGAGCACTTGGTGGTAGTATTGCTTCCCAGATGTCAGTGACTTACTAACCTTCAGAGCCTCGCCCGGTGCCTGGCAAAGGTGGAGTGAACACACCCTCAGGGTGGCTGGGTCATGATTTCCTCACTCACAGGGCACTTGGAGGATCCTTAAAATCCTCAGACAGCAAAATGAATATCTGGAGAGGTTTGCAGTGAGCACTGGATTTTGCAATTTCTGCCACACCATTGTGTAACCCTCTTGTTTTTTATTTTTTAGGCTGTTGCGACCACCGGCTTTGTGGAACAGCCTCCCTTTGGAGTCATGCCATCCGTGTTTGAGCTGGCTCCGGGGTTTGCCATCCTGTTGGAGGTGGGTAGTCAAACCTGTTCTTCATGCTTACCCATGGTGGCTTCCTCGGGTGTTCCATCATTGCGTCCACCTCTGTGTCTTCATGGCTCACATCCACACCATTCTGACCCAGGTCCCAGCACTGGGGCTCTAGACAGGGGTGTGTGCTTGCATTCTGTGGCTGCCTTATGACTTCACAGGTTGTCCTCTGACCTCCATATTCCTGCTGTGGCACACCCTTCCACATACTCACTAAATAAATCAATTAAGAAGTCAATACAGGACATTATGGTTTGAATCTGAAATGCCTCCTATAAGTCCGTATTTCAAAGTCCTGTCCTTCAGCTGGTGGCATGTAGATGTATCCAACCTTCTTATTAAATAAGAAACACAGAACCAATGCAAAGAAGAAAGCCAAGAGGTCAGAGCTAAGAGCTAAAACCTTACCCTTCCTCCTGCGGTGGTCCTACCTCTCCGAACCAGAGCTACCCCTGTGTTAAAGTCTTTATATAGAGTTCCTGTCCTGCCTTCTCATTGGTTGTAAACCCAACCACATGACAGCCTCCTCACGGCCTGTCTGTATAGGCCTCCAGGTTTTCCATGATTGGTATTAAGATTAAAGGCATGTGTATCCAATAATGGCTGTATCCCTGAACACACAGAGACTTACCCAGCTCTGCCTACCAAGTGCTGGAATTACAAGCGTACGCTACCACTGCCCTGCTTTCCTATGGCTTGCTAATAGCTCTGACCCCCGGGCAACTTTATTTATTAACATACAAATAACATCTTAATACAAATAAAATATCACCATAGTGGCATTATTTCCCAGATGCTGTAGAGCCTTTCATAGGTGAGGCCTCACTGGCAAAAGTAGGTCATCAGGGGCAGACCTCTAAACGTGACACCCAGTCCCTGGTCCTCGCCATGTTTCCTGGTTAGTCTCTGCTATACATATCTTCTCTCTTCTCCAGGTCTTGTTCCTCCCGACCGGCCTAGGCAAGGCAGAGGAGACCTTTATCATCGTGTGTGACAATTGTCAGACAAAGGAGCTGGTGATCGTAGGTGGGGATGTGGTTTCAGGAGCTGTTTACGATAGGAGCATTGCCAGGGCATGCTGTACCTGCCCCAGCCAGGTGGTGGGGATCTGAGGGGCACACTGCCTTGAACTCTTGATCCACCTGCCCCTACTTCCCTAATGCTGAGGTTACAGGTGTGATCGCCCATTCTTTCACTTGGAGTCCACTTTGATCTTTGAGAGTCATCTGTGGCTCCCACATAAATGACTGGTTACAGCTCTATGTGGTGATATATTGTCTACCCTAATAAAATTTGCCTGAAGATCAGAGAAGCAGAGCAAGCCACAGCCACCACCTCTTACCTCACCAACTCCTCAGCCTGAAAAAGCTCCAGCCGAAAGAGCTTCCTCGGCCTAAAAGGCTTTAGTTCTGATCTCCTCACGCCTTATATACCTTTCTCTGCCCACCATATCACTCCCTTCTTAGTGCTGGGATAAAAGCCATGTGACTTCCCAAACAAAGACATGAGATCTCAAGTGCTGGGATTAAAGGTGTGTGCTACCACTGCCTGGCTCTGTTTTCTCTCCTAGACTGAGTCAATCTCATGTAGTCCAGGGTGGCTTTGAACTCACAGAGATCCAGACAGATCTCTGCATCCCGAGTGCTAAGATTAAAGGTGTGTGCCACCACTGCCTGGCCTCTATGTCTAATCTAGTGGCTTGTTCTGTTCTCTGATCTTCAGGCAAAGTTTATTAGGGTACACAATGTATCACTACACTTCTATGTTTTTGCAAGGTCAGAGAGGGCATTTTTCTGAATTGTACCAGGTATACACAATCCATCCTTTCCTCCCTTCCTTCCATCTGTCTGTCCAGTTCCACTCGGTAGTCATTAATGAGTATCTGCTGCGTGCAAGGCTCTCTCTGGTCTGGGAAGACCTGAGGCTATGAATAGGTGACCAAGACCCGCTTTCCCTTTCTATATGCTCTGGAGACCCAAATAAGGCCAGCTGCATGGGGACATGGCATGGGTCCCATGGCAGTCTGTGGCCCCTGGGTGCCGACTTCAGCCTGGTGATACTTGATGAACCTTCCTACTCTCCTCCGTCAGGAACTGGGCAGCTGGTGGCTTTGGATCTCATCTATATTTCTGGTGGAAAAAGTGAACCAGACCCAGGAGAGCTGAGAGATTTAACAGCCCAGTACTTTATCCGATTTGAGCCTGAAAACCTCCAGTCTACCTCAAGGAAACAGCTCATTATCCGAAATGCTACGTGAGTGGCCCTGACGTGTTGTTGACACACAGCCCTGGTCCTCCCTCAACTAGCCCCGAGTTCCTCATGAGGCAAGAGTGCTTTCTAAGAGTCAGAGGGAGTTGTTGTGAGCCCAGAATGGATTCAGACTGGATGGAAGGCTCCTGGTTCACGTTGCCCATCATGCAACCATTAGATGTGTGTGTGTGTGTGTGTGTGTGTGTGTGTGTGTGTGTGTGGTGTGTGTATGGTGTGTGTGGGTGTGTGGTGTGTGGGTGTATGGTGTGTGTGTGTGTGTGTATGGTGTGTGTGTGGTGTGTGTGTGCGGTGTGTGTGTGTGTGTGTGTGTGGTGGGTGTGTGTATGGTGTGTGTGTGGTGTGTGTGTGTGTGTGTGTGTGTGTGTGTGTGTGGTATGTGGTGTGTGTGTGTATGGTGTGTGTGTGTGTGTGTGTGGTGTGTGGGTGTATGGTGTGTGTGTGGTGTGTGTGTGTGGGTGTGTGGTGTGTGTGTGGTGTGTGTGTGTGTGTGTGGTGTGTGTGTGTATGGTGTGTGTGTGTGTGTGGTATGTGGGTGTATGGTGTGTGTGTGGTGTGTGTGTGTGGGTGTGTGTGGTGTGTGTGTGGTGTGTGTGTGTGGTGTGTGTGTGTGTGTGTGGTGTGTGTGTGTGTGTATGGTGTGTGTGTGTATGGTGTGTGTGTGGTGTGTGTGTGTATGGTGTGTGTATGTGTGTGTGTGCATGCATGAGTTGTGTGTGTTCAGGTGTACATGTTTGTGGGGTTTGTGATGGATGTGTGCAGGCCAGAGGACAAGATTGGCTCTAGTTCTTCAGGCACCAATCGTTGGCCTACACTTGGCTGGCCAGGAAGCCCAGAGGATCTGCTTGTCCCTCACTTCCCAGCACTGGGGTTATAAGCATGTGCCACCACACCTGGCTTTTGTTGTTACTGTTTTGTTTTGTACAGGGTCTCACTGTGTAGCCTTGATTGGCCTTGAACTCACCATGTAAACCAAGCTGGTCTCACATTTACAGAGATCTGTCTGCCTCTGCCTCTGCCTCTGAGTGCTGGGATCAAAGGCATGCACCACCATGACTGGCTTATACCCAGAGGTTCTGGGTCTTATTAACGTGGGCTGAGATTTCACTCAAGTCCCATGCTTGCCCGACAAATGCTTTACCAATGAACTATCTCCCCAGCTGGCTATTTCTATTTAAACTGGTTAAAATGAAATCAAATGACAAGCACCTCCTCAGTACACTAGTCACGTTTTAAGTTCTTGGTGGCCACTGAAAACCAGTGGCTACTGTATTGAATAGTGTGGCCATGTAGGGTCTTCACTGTGGGAAGCCAGATTGCACCATGAATGCAATATCCCTCCACCACACTAAGCCAGGAATAAATAGGTGGTTTTGTTTCCTTTTATTGTTTTTAATTGAAATAGAATTATATTACTTTCTCCCTCCCTTTTCTACCTCCAGCCCCCCCAGCTACCCTTCCTCAAACCCCTCCCATACCCAATGCCACTTTCAAGTTGATAACCTCGTTTTCTTTGATTATGAGTGTTACATACAGATACATACGTGTGTGTCTGCACGAATACAAAGAATACAAATACATGCTGCCGAGTCTTTCTTGAGCACTCTGCACTGAACAACCAATGATGCAGCCCATCCCTGGGAGGGCTGCTTCTCCCAGCAGTCAGCGGCTGCCTGGAGTTCTTTGTCTAGGGAGGGGACCCCACTAATTTTTCCCTTCATCATTAACATGCCCTTATACTGCCGTAGTTCTGGTCTAGGCGAGACTGATTGATGGCAGATTTCCTGGTGTTTTGGCTCTTACACTGTGATGTTCTCTGAGTCATAGATGCAGGAGCTGTGGTGTAAATGTGTCCATGACCTGCTGATCTCTGCAGGTGTCCAGCTGTGGTTTTCTGTGGTGTCTCCATTCGCTGTAAAGAGGGGCTTCTTGGATGAGGGGTAGCATCTACCCCTCCCTGTGGGTATGAGGAAAAGATCTAGACTATAAGGAACCATACTGGTCTAGTGAAGTGATGCTGGTACATTCTTTCTTTTTCTTTTTTTCTTTTCTTTCTTTTTTTTTGGCGGGGAGTGTTTTCAAGACAGGGTTTCTCTGAGCAGCTTTGTGCCTTTCCTGGATCTCACTCTGTAGCCCACACTGGCCTCCAACTCACAGAGATCTGCCTGGCTCTGACTCCTGAGTGCTGGGATTAAAGGCGTGCGCCACCACCACCCGGCGGACATTCTTTCTAATGTCTATGATCTCACTAACTCCAGGAAGTCCGCTAGGTATCCAGTACCTGGCATGGTTTCCCTCCTCTTGAGTGGACCTTAAGTCTAATTAGAAAATTGTTGGCTGCCACCTACATGTGAGTGCCGCTTCTGAAGGGGTCGGTATCGGCTCAGGACCCCCAAGACCAAGTTCTCAGCACAAAGGAGATTTGTTTGCCCCAGAGGGACAGAGGGCAGGGAATAAGAGACAAAGACAGGGGACAGAGGCTGAGGGAGAAGGGGGAGGGGATGGGGAGGATGGGCAGGAATATTGTCTGTGGTGGGGGACGACAAAGGATTGCCCCTGGATAGGGAGGAGGCAGATGTGTCCCATAGGCAAATGGTGGTTTAGGAAAAGGGGAAACACCATGTGTCTCAGTCAGGTTTCTTTTGCTGTGAAGAGACACCATGACCACGACAACGCCTATAAAGGAAAACATTTAATTGGGTGAGCCAAAGGGGGCTTTTGATTGCTGGACTTCAATGCTTTGTTAGCTGGGCCTTGGTAGTCAGCCTCAGGAGGAGGGAGTGGCCAAATAAGGGAATAAGAACTTGGAGGCTAGCTTCAGGAATGCCATCTAACAGTTTTTATAAGGCAGAGGGAATGGGGGAGAAGGGCAAGGCCGGCCAGAGCCACGTGCTCACATGGGCCAGCGTCCTTCAGCTTCTTTCTCCTTTATGCTTATCTTGCCATGCAGGTAGTTGCTGCAGTTCGTAAGTGTTACAGCTGGGGAGGGATGTTCAATTGCTTCCCTCCCTTGGTAGCTTGCATAGTATTTTCTGGAACCATGGAAGCTAGACCATAGGGAAGATGCTTCCGGGTCAGATTCAGCTCAGATCATCAGTCCTGTGTGCCAAGTGGGCAGTGTCTCCAGCAACAGGGACCACCTCAACCTTGAGAGGTGACCAAGGGCCACATCAATAATCTGTATTATTTGGGGAATCACTTGAACTACCCCGACCAAACATTTGGATGGAGATTTCTTTTTTTTCTTTTCTCTTTTCTTTTCTTTTCTTTCTTTTCTTTTTTTTTTTTTTTTCTCGAGACAGGGTTTCTCTGTGTAGCTTTGCACCTTTCCTGGAACTCACTCTGTAGCCCAGGCTGTCCTCGAGCTCACAGAGATCTGCCTGGCTCTGCCTCCTGAGTGCTGGGATTAAAGGCGTGCGCCACCACCGCCCGGCTGGAAGGAGATTTCTTGTGCCTGGTCCTGGGTCGTTAGTCTATGGGTCCAGTAGAGAGCATTGTCAGTCCAAGTAGCTTAACTTCCTTTAAGTTGTAAGTATGGTGTGTGTGTGTGTGTGTGTGTGTGTGTGTGTGTGTGTGTGTGTGTGTGTGTGTGTATACAGACACTTATGTGTATCGTGTATACTTTTAGGTAAATATAAAATGATTTCTTGAGGCTTTATTGAACAGCATTGGTGTATCTGTCCTGTATCCCTCCTTCTCCTTCTGCACAGACCTCCTTCCCTCCACCCAGTTGGAGTCCCCCTGTTGTTCAGTTTCCTACTTCATATCACCTGTAGTCTCCTATTCCGTTTTGTAGTGGGGATCTCGGAATGGTTTTCCAGAGAGGTCATTTTGTGTCCCTGTCCCGGGAGCCATTCAGACCCCAGGCAGGGTCTTTGGGCTCAGCCCTCACTGCTAGGTCCTTCCTTGTCCAACCTTTGAACATCACATTCCATCAGCCCTGACCTCAGTGGGCCTCCCAGTCAGGGGTGCCCCGGGACACGGATGGGAGGCTGACCTGACATCCCCCTCCATCCCACCACCCAGAAGCATGTCTTGAGTCCTGTCCATTATGGTGCTGTAGAGCTGGGGCTGCCCTTGTCAGTAGCCAGTGGGCACATGTCTCTCTGAATACAGCCATCATCCCAGGAGACCATGGCTGGAGGCAGAAGGTGAGAATGTGGTCCGTATGGGAAAGCTGGAAATGCTCATGTGATAGGGGACACTTTTGAGAATTTTCAGGGATGCCTGGACTCCTCTAGTATAATGGCGAGAGTGTGACATTTCGCATCACCCATGTCCCCTGATTCACTGTGGCTTCAGTTCCCAGCTGCTGAGGTGGGGACTCTTACATGGTCTCCACTGTGGACACCCTGCTGTCCTTACCTAAGTTGCCCTCAGCTCCTCTGTGGGAAAAGCTGGAAGCCTGTTCTGGTCACTTCTTGTCTAGAATAGAGCCAACCAATCACGGGGTGGGAGCCTTGAGGGCGGGGGCGTGGCCTGGGATCCACCGCCCACAGCAGCTCTTGCTCCCACAGGCACGTGGAGCTGGCCTTCCACTGGCAGATCATGAAACCCAACCTGCAGCCTCTGATGCCTGGAGAGACTCACAGCTCAGACAGCATCAAGTGCCACCCCGACAGGGAGACGGCCTTCTCCATCATTCCTGAGAAGGGCGTCCTCGAGGGCCACTCAGACCACGAGTTCATCCTGAGTTTTTCTCCTCACGAGGTCATCTCATTAGCCACTGACCGGGGTCATTAGCTTTCGTGTGTCCCCTCCTCCTCCAACCCCCACGTGTAACCACAGCTGGGCCTGAAGAGGCACCTGGGCACCCTGCTGAGGGCCGCATGTAGCTCTGAGTATGGCTGGAATGCAGGTCTGGTGTGCAAGACTCAGCAGCTGGCTTCCTGGTTCTGTCCCCAAATGTCCCTCCTGCAGCACAGCCCTGTGCCTGTTCCTCAGCCCTGGTGATTTTCACAGTTCAAAGCACATAACTGTCTCCACCCGTCCCCTGCAGCCCCTTCAAACAAGGCGTGGGCTCCAGAGTGAGTGCCAGCATGGCGCAGGACTGGGCCAGGGCTGTTGTTGTAGAGGGTCTGAGACTGAGTTGTGTGTGGCTGCCTCTGGCTCCTGCTGTTGTACCCAGGAGGGTCTGGTCCCTTAAACACACCAAGGGTGCTAATTGGAGCCAATGTCAGACTTGGGGGGCTGGGGCTTTCTTTGCTGACCAGTAGGTTCCTGCCTTGGCAGGGATCCCGTTCTCCCTACAATGGAGAGAGGACACTGGGAAGCAGTGCATCTTAGGCCCCCCCCACCCCTCCCACCCCCCACCCCTCCCACCCCCCACCCCCCCACCCCCCACCCCCACCCCCGGGCACCCTGGCTCCGGAAACAGGAATCCCTTCCCTGTCCCCTAGCTCCCTGCAGGCAGGCAGTCTGGCTGGAAGTCGAGTCTGGTTATCATACTGTGTTTCTCTTGCAGCTCAAGTGTTTCCACAGTGTACTGCAAATGGTTCTGGAAGCTGTCCCTGAGCCCTTGAGGTGAGTAGGTGAGCCTAGATAAGGAGGGTCACTGCTCCCCCTGGGCATCCTGGCTGGTAGACTCTGGGTGCTGCTCAGTACTGTGGGAAGGTTTGCATGATGCACCGGCTAGAGGTGGGTCTCCAGGGAGCATGGTGCACAGGCCCCATGGAGGCTTCACTCTGTTCCCGGAGGCAGCAGGTCCACACCCCAGGCTTTAGGCTACTCTGCTGTCTCTTTGCCCTGTCACAGTGTAGACATTGTCACGTGACTGTGGGGTTGGGGGTCGAGGGTAAGGAAACCCTTTGTGTTCACAAGAACAAACCAGTGGGAGAGAGGCAGAGACACACCCCTGGGATATGTCAACCCCTAGCCCACAGTGGCTTTGTGTTCAGCTCAGGGGTGGAGAACCTGGGGGACTATTCCTACTCAGTGGATGATGTGATCGTCCTGGAAATCGAGGTGAAAGGCTCAGCAGAACCCTTCCAAGTCCTTTTAGAGCCCTACGCCCTCATCATCCCTGGCGAGAGTTACATTGGCATCACTGTGAAGAAGGACTTTAAGGTAAGGAATCCTCTCACCAGCGTCACTGGCCCAGTGTAAGTGTGGTGAAGACAGCTCAATAGGCCACACCACGGAGCCTGTAGCGGTTTACACTCCTGGACCAGGCTTGTTTGACCGACCAGTGTCCAGAATCTTCTGAAGTCAGGGCTATGGAACTCATTCCCGGGTCTTCAGCAGGATGTGGTGCCTGTGTCCCCACAACATGGAGCAAAGGCGCCTCTTGGGTAGGGAGACCTGGGGCTTCCGATGGTCAGCAGCTGGCATCAGATGGACGACCCCTTGGGAGCCGGCGATCCCACGGTCCCTCAGCAGGTTCCGATTGGACACGAAGGGCAGTAAGTACCCAGGCAGCCTGCCTGTATCTTTCAGATGTGGAATAACAGCAAGTCGCCCATCAGATACACGTGGAGCAAGATCAGCCACTGTCACATCATCGAAGTGGAGCCCTGCACAGGCGTGATAGGTAGCTCACCTGCAAAAGGGTGTGGCCGGCCTGGGGCTGGGTGCAGGGGACCCATGCAGGACCCTGGCTGTCCTGTGGTCAGATCCAGTCTGACAGGACACTGTACCCACCCCTGATCGCCACCTCAATGTCATCCTCCTCCCTAGAGCCTAATGAGGTCGGAGATTTTGAGTTAAACCTAACCGGTGGAGTCCCTGGCCCAACCAGCCAGGACCTACAGTGTGAAATCAAAGATTCGCCCTGCCCAGTGGTGCTTCACATCGAAGCTGCCTTTAAGGTGGGAACTGGGCAGCTGGGAATGCCTGGAGAGCTCGGAGGGGCTGGGGTGGGGTGGTGAAGCAGGACCCAGCCCCTTCCCAGGCAGGCAGGCAGTGACAGGCCCCTCTGGTGTTTCAGGGACCTGCCTTGGTCATCGATGTCCCAGCCCTTCAGTTTGGTCTGCTCCGCCTGGGCCAGAAGGCTTCATGCTCCATCCAGATCCGGAATATCAGCCAGCTCTCTGCCGTGTGGCATTTGAGGGAGAGCCCATTGTGCCTGGCAGAGAGACACGAGGATGTGAGTGGGATCCTGCAGGCCCCCTAGATGTGGCCTCTCCATGGGACACTCACCTTTGGCTCCTGTCTGAACTGGGACACTTGATCTGAGGCAGCAATCTCCAGGGTGAAATCCATCCCTCAGCCCCAATTCCACAGGCATTTCCCGTTCCCTTTTTCGACCACTGGATGCGGAAGAGGGTAGTGTGGGGGTTCTCCTTCTTGGAAGCAACCTGAGTCCAGAAAGCAGGCAATGCGGTCAGAAGGTGCTGTTGGCCAAGGCCTCCCTCCTCCAGGTCACCTACCTGGGAAATGTGGCTGCAGTTTCAGTGCCTGCCACCAGGGGGCGGGCGGTGGCTCAAACCTGAGGGTCTACAAACAAAATTCAATTTCTGCAGATGTAAGCTGTTGGTTGCTCTGCGTTCAATCCCCAGCTCTGCACAAAGCAGGGTGTGTGGTGGCATGTGCCTGTATTCCCAGAGCTCTGAGCCAGAGGGGCCAGAAGTTCAAGGTCATCTCTGATGAGGTGGGGATGGGTTCAATACAGGTCTTGTGGCATCTCCAGGCAGTTGTGGCCTTCACACCCATTGTCCTGGTCTCATTGAAGGGAGAGATAATGCCCTTTCTGGTGTGACTTTCCAGTGACATCCCACTAACCAGTGTGGCCCACCTAGAGCCCAAGGCTTCTTAGTCCCACAGGTGCCCCCCTCTCATTAGGGACAGAGGAAGTAGGGGTAGGGTAGGTCCCTTCCCAGAAGCAGACACTTTGGGACACTTCCTTTGTGCCACTTCTCATCCATCCACTCTTCCCTTGAGTGGGTTTGCTGATGGGTGAATCAACCTGGGGCGGGAGCGGGGGGGAACCAGGATGGGGACAAGGGGGAAGTCCGTCAGTCCGTCTGGCTGCAGCTTCTGCCCTCCCCAGTGGGGTGACCTGATGGCTAGCCTTGGTTGAAGCTGTCAGAAACGGGCCTGGGCCTGCCCAGAGCACCTCCTCCAGGGCGCCCAAGCTCTCCTCCTGTTCCTCTTTGGTTTCTCAGGCCCCTTCCCCACTCCCCAATCCCCCCTCCGGGCACCTCTGCCTTCCACCTCTTGGCTCAGCACCGGGATTGTGGGAACCTCTATCTTGTGTATTCCTCTACCCGAACACCTAGTTTTTGTTCCCTTGTTCCTGATGTCCTCACCAGCTGAGGTCCCATCTTGCTCATCTTCTCCTTGGTTTCATGCCTGGGAGATCCAGGGGCAGCTTGGGGGTGGTCCTGACCAGACAGAGTCAACCCCAGCACCTCAGGTCCCCTGTCCTCACTTCTCACTGTATCTTCTGGGTTGACCGTAGGTGTCCCCTTTGGACATGGATCCCTTCAGCGGCCAGCTTCACCCTCTGGGGGAGTGCAAAGTGACTGTCGCCTTAGAGACTTCTCACTGTCAGCGGCTACAGACGGTACTGGAGCTCAAGGTGGAGAATGGGGCCTGGAGGTATGGAGGGGTCGGAGGGTCACAGTGGACTGTGTCTCACCTTATGTTAACAGTGTGCGCAACTCTGTATTTATCTAGAGATATTTCTGAGTTTAAAACTGCAGATTGAGGGGGCTGGAGGGATGCCGCAGCGGTTAAGAGTGCTCGGTGTTCTCCCAGATGATCAGGGTTTGATTACCAGCATCCAGGTCAGGCAGCTCACAATTCGCCTGTAGCTCCAACTCCAGGGTAGCCGATGCTGTCTTCCGGCCTCCTGGGGTTGTTTCCTAGCAAGAGGAAGCGTAAGAATGGAAAACTGGACATACTGTTGCTCCTGGGCGAGAGAATGGGCCCAGTCAGTGTTCAGTGTGCTAAGGCTGTTGTGTTCTGGTAGGAACACACAGAGGCTTGGAGGGCAGTGACGCCCCTCCCCTTTCCTCCCTCCTCCCGCACTTTTACAGTGGAAGTTTTCTCATGTACATAAAGAAGAGTTTTACTCCCACCCTCCACCCCCCCCAATAGCTCATCGTTGAAAGCAGTCAGGACCGGAACTCAAGCAGGGCAGAGGCCAGGCAGGGTGCTGCTTACTCTCCCTGCTTGCTCAGCTTTCTTATGGAACCCAGGACCACTAGCTCACAGGGGGCCCCACCCACAGTGGGCTGGGCCCTCCCTGTCAATCACTAATTAAGAAAACGCTCTGTAGGCTGGCCTGCAGTTCTATCTCATGGAGGCATTTTCTCAACTGGGGCTCCCTCCTCTCAGATGGCTATAGCCTGTGTCAAGTTGACACAGACCTAACCAGCACAGCCACCAACTCTCCCCACCAAAACCCCCCAAAAGACAAGAGAGTAGAAGGGAAGCGAAGAGGGAGATAATTAGTAGGAGTGGGACAAGAGAGTCAACGGCGGATAAATCAAAACATAAACGTATGTATGAAAATGCCACAATAAACCCATTGTTATGAATTATTCATGTATGCTAAAAAATTAAGAAATAGGATTCTCAGCCAGCTAGTGGTGGCTCACCCTTTGGATCCCTGCACACTGGAGGTAGGGGCAAGCAGCTCTGAGTTCTTAGATGTCTGAGTTCAAGACCAGCCTGGTCTACAGAGTGAGATCCAGGACAGCCAGGGCTACACAGAGAAACCCTGTCTTGAAAGACAAAAACAAACAAACAACAACAACAAAAAAGTATTCTTTTTTATTCCAGAGTTTGTAAGAAATCTTTATATATCTAACATGCAAGTCTCTAATTTGATAAACTGTTTTCAACCATTCTGTGGCCTTGTTCTCTTGATAGTATTTTTTAAATGATTTATTTATTTTTATTTCATGTACAATGGTGTTTTGCCTGCAAGTATGTCTGTATAAGGATGTCAGATTCACTGGAACTGGAGTTACAGACAGTTGTGAGCTGCCATGTGGGTGCTGGGAACTGAACCCAGGTCCTCTGGAAGAGCAGCCAGTGTGCTCTTAACCACTGAGCCATCTCTCCAGACTCCTCTTGATAGTATTATTAAAGTACAAAAACATTTAACTTTGTTAGGTTTGACTTGCCAAGTTCTCTCCTCTGTTGGGTGAAGCATTGTACGTCTGTTAGGCTGTCTGGTTTGTAACAGTGTTCAAGCCTTCCATTTCAACATGCATCTTAGTTCTGTTCATTCTTAAAAATAAGAGCGAGAGGTCTCCAACCATGCTAGTCAAATTGTCCATTTCCCCTTTAGTGTTGCCAGCATCTGTGTACATGAGACCCATCAGCACGGATGTAGTTACTGGTTTATGGGTCTCTCTCTCTCTCTCTCTCTCTCTCTCTCTCTCTCTCTCTCTCTCTCTCAATTTTTTGAGACAGGATTTCTTTGTGCAGCCCTGGCTGTCCTGGAACTTGCTCTGTGGACCAGGCTGGCCTCAAACTCACAGAGATCCACCTGCCTCTGCCTCCAGAGTGCTGGGATTAAATGCATGTGCCACCACTGCCTGGCTGTAGTCCTCTTTTAAATCAGATAAAAGAAATGAGTTATAGGAAAAAATAAATCTATTCCGTCTTTTAAAATTTCTTATGGGTTTTCTTTGATTGTATCACCTCAGTCCAGACCCCACGAGAGAAACAGAACAATAACATATTTATTAAAATATGATGTTGTGGGGGGAAGTGGGAGAGGGGGGTTGGGGAGAGAGCTGAGTTGGTGAAATGCTTGCTGTAAAAGCCTGAGGCCTGAGTTTGGATGCCTAGCACCCACATGAGAAGCCAATTGCAGTAGCTTTTGGTTTTTGGGTTTTTTAAAATAATTTTTTATTGTTTTCTCATACATTACATCTCAACCATAGCTTCCCAGGTTCCATCACAGTTTCATCTCAGTACCTCTCCCCGTCCCCTCTTCCCCTCCCCTCTTCCCCTCCCCTCTCCCCCAGATCTACTCCTCCTCCATTTCCCCTCAGAAAAGAGCAGGCCTCCCAGGAATATCCACTGAACACAGCATATCAAGGCTGGACAAAGCAATCCAGTAGGAGGAAAAGGGTCCCAAGAACAAGCAAAAGAGTCAGAGACATCCCTCTACCCACTGTTGGGAGTCCCACAAGAAGGCCAAGTTGCACAACCATAACATATGAGCAGAGGACCTAGCTCAGACCCATAAGGGACCGTGTTTGTCTCTGCAGTCCCTGTGAGTCCCTGTGAGCCCTGCTTAGTTGATTCTCTGGGCCATGTTCTCCTGGTGTCCTTGACTCTTCTGGCTGCGACAATCCTTCCTTTTCCTCTTCTTCTGGGTTCCCCTGGCTCTGCCTAGTGTTTGGCTGTGGGTCTCTGCATCTGCTCCCATCAACTGCTGGATGAAGCCTGTCTGATCTCTCTGATGACAATTGGGCTAGGTGTTGATCTATGAGTATAGCAGAATATTATTAGGAATCATTCCATTGCCTTTTTTTTTTCTGCCACTCATGTTTGGTTTTATCATGGGTCTGTCTCTGGGCTGTCCTGCCTCTGATTCTTGGCCATCCAGGCAGTGTCAGTCATGGGCTCCCTCTCGTGGCATGGGCCTCAAGTTGGACCAGTCATTGGTTGGCCACTCCCACGTGTTCTGCCCCACCATGCCCCAGCACATCTTGCAGGAAGGACAGATTGTAGGTCGAAGGTTTTATGGCTGGGTTGATGTCCCAGTCCCACTGTTGGGAGCCTTGCCTGGTTATAGAAGATGGCCAGTTTGGGCTTCATATGCCCCATTACTCTAAAAAAAAAAATCATCCCGAGTGAGGTAACCCAGACCCAGAAAGACAAACATGGTATGTACTCACCTGTAAGTGGAATTAGCTAGGTAACAAGAGATTTTGAGGTGGACTGGGGGCAAGTGGAGATGGGAACAGGAGGATCGGGCTGGGGTGGGAGGAATGGAGGGAGAGATGACTGGAATTGGGAGGCTCTTGGGGGGCAGTGTAGAAACGTAGCGCAGTGGGAACTCCTGCAGTCTGAGAGTGGTCCTGAAGTCTCCTAGTATGGCAGCATGTATTTGTATCTCATCACTGGGGAGGCAGAGACAGGCGGAGCTTGGCTCACTGGCTGGCCAGCTTAGCTGGACCCTGTCTCAAAAAACAAAGTAGACAGCAACTCAGGAGACAACCAACATTGACCTTGACCTTTGACCTACACACTCTCTCTCTCTCTCTCTCTCTCACACACACACACACACACACGAGACTGTTACAGCCAGACATGGTACATGCCTATAATACCAGCCCTCAGAAAGCTGAAACAGGAACATTGTGAATTTAAGCACTGCCCAAGACACAAAACAAGACTACATATTCTATTATATATACTACTCAGTACATATAATATATAAACTCTATGTAATATTATGTGTGCATGTATATATAATTTCTTGCGAGGACTCAATCAACTCACCTAACTGTGGCTGGCCAGGCAATCCCAGGCTCTTGCTTTTAAGGCCTCTCAGATGATTGACAGGCCCATCTGGACTCTCTAGGATAATCTCCTTTAATTACTATATCAGCTCACCATAATGTTAATCTCACTACAAAATGCCCCCAGCCATCTAGACATGTAGAGCACTTGCCCATCAAGCTCCTGCCTCACAATAAGAAAGAAAAAAAAGAACAAACTGAAAAGCAACTCTCTTTATGTCCGCCAGAGAATCTCCCAATCCCAGGGAGACAGTCAAATGTAGTTAACAGACGAGTTTCTGTGGGTTTCTGGAGGCTGGATGTTAACTGGGATAAGACTCAAAACTTTTGGGAGCTGCTGTAGTTTACTTTGTGTTGTGGTAAAACTCTCTGACCTTTACCCTTTAGGAAGAGGGGATAGAGGTGGGGAGGAGGTGGGGGGAATGGGAAGAGGGATGAGAGGGGATCTGTGGTTGGTTTGTAAAATGAATAAAAACACTTTTTAAATAAAAAAAAACTCTGACCAGCTGGGGGGTGGTGCATACTTCTAATCCCAGCACTCAGGAGGCAGATGCAGGCGGATCTCTGTGAGTCTGAGGCCAACTAGGACAGCCAGAGCAACACAGAGAAACCCTGTCTCTAAAAAACAAAAACAACAACAAAACACTCTGGCCAAAAGCAACTTAGAGCAAAAGATTTATTTGGCTTGCACTTACAGGTCATAGTGCATCACTGAGGAAGTCAGGGCAGGAACCGGAAGCAGAGACCACAGAGGAGCACTGCTGACTTCCTCCCAGGCTCTTGCTCAGCTAACATGACAGCCTAGGACCACCTGCCCAGGGAATGGTGCTGCCCACAGTGGACTGAGCCCTCCTGCTTCCATTATAATCCAGACAGTCCTCCCACAGACAGGCCCACAGGCCAATCTGACTGGACATTACCTCAGCTGAGTGCACCTTCTCAGGTGACTAGGCTATGCCAGATTGACAGTTAAAGTTAACTAGGGCAGGAGCACCTAGATTCTTGTGTCAGAGACAGAATAAATTTTTTTGCATTTGGTTAGGGATAGGAAGAGGTGAGTAACGATTCTGAATTAAACCCAGAATATTCTCCTTAAAGTTTCTCAGATATTTCGAGTGATTTAAAATTTAAGTAGTTTGTTTCTACATGTTAATTGATGAATAAGAATATGGTTATGTTCTGAATGATGATCTTGTGTTTTTGCTGCAGCTTTTTGCCAAACTTGTTTTTTAGGAGTTTTGTTTGTTTGTTGTTGTTTTGTGTTTTCTTGAGACGGGCTCTCACTGTGTGGCCCTGGCTTGCCTGAAAGTCTCTCCGTACACCAGGCTGGCCTGGAACTCACAGTGACTCTCCTGTCTCTGCCTCCTGGGTTCTGGAATTATAAATGTGCTACTCCTAGCTGGTTTTGTTGTTGTTGTTGTTGTTGTTGTTTTGGTTGTTTGGCTTTTGTTTGTTTTTATTATTATATTAATAGATTCCTCGGGACTTTCCCCAAATCCTCATGCCATTGGTAAACTGGGATAGTTTTATTTTTCCTTTTCTGAGCAATGTGCTGTGTGACTTCCTGTGTTCCAGCTACCTTCCTGTGTACGCTGAGGTACAGCAGCCTCATGTGTACCTGCAGAGCAGCCATGTGGAGTTGAGCAACCTCTACCTGGGTGTGCCCACAAAGTCAACCATCGTGCTCGTCAATGGCACACTCCTGCCCACCCGGTTCCACTGGGGCAAGGTGACTGAACCCGAGCAAGCAGCAGTAGGCAGCTCCCAGCTTTGGAGACACATGTGGTCCCCACCCCCTGAATGGCCACCCTCCAGAATAAATGTCCGGCCTCCCTCCCAAAGCCTATGGTTCCATCCACAGGTGGCAGCAAAGCATGGCTCCTTAAGGAGTAGTTCACCTTGTCTGACCTTTCCTGGCTCCGTCTTTAGGACATTCTAGTTCCCTGTCCAGGGAGCTCCTGGTGAACACAGCTGGGACCTCCCAGCTAGCACAGCTAGTCTGCACAGCTGTTTGGAACCTAGTCATAGCAATGCCCCTGTGGTTGATAGTGGAGCTTGCTCTGAGCACCATGGGAGAATCCTCTATCAAAGGCAGCTGCTTTCTGCTGTCTACCACAGTGGGTTGTTTGTCCAGGCAATTCCGTGGTGGGGGGGTGAAGCCCACCATGCTTGGGGAGGAGAGAAGGTTCAACTCCATGGTCGGGGGTGAAGCCCACCATGCTTGAGGAGGAGAGAAAGCTCTGTGGTTTATTCCTGAAGTGAACAGCTGTGTCTGGCTTGCTGTGTTAGCACTCTGTGTAGAACCTGGTGCGTCTGGTAGCCTCACAAGACATCCTGTGTCTTCTAGCTCCTGGGGACCCAAGCAGCCTTGTGCACAGTGACAATCTCTCCCAGACGTGGCCTACTGGGTCCCAGTGAAGAGCGCCAGCTCAACCTGGAATTTACAGCCCATACACTGGTGAGTAAGGCAATTTGGGAGTGCCTTGTGGCTGGAAGTACCCCATCCACCCACTGGTACTGGTGCTTCCTGGGAGGGCCACAGATCCGCTCCTCATGAGTGGGCAAGAGAGCTAATGTATTTGCATTTAGGGTCCTCTTTCACTCTGGACCTACTTTCTGAGGCCAGAGGGCCCAGAGTAGCTCAGATGTGGTCTGAGGCCCATGGACCACATTGTCACTAGCCCTACCCTTCTCTGGGCAAGTGTGTGGCCTCAGGCAGCCCAGCTGTCCACTTTGCCTAGGGCAAAGCCATTTCTCAAGGTAGGCACTGTTCTGGGTGCTACAGGGGAGGCTAACGGGTGACTCGCATCCTCCTAGGAGAAGCTCAGATTCTCCCTGGAGTATTCTAGAGGGATGCCTTCTCAGCGGGACTTGCTCAGTGTTTGGGTGTTGCTAGCCAAATCTGGATTTTCTGGAAAGAGAAACATCCTCAACCTTTAAAAAGGGTTTCTTCTTTCTTTTTCTTTTTCTTTTTTTAAATTTACTTATTTTTATTTCATGTGCATTAGTGTTTTGCCATGGGTGTCGGATCCTCTGGAACCAGAATTACAGACAGTTGTGACCTGCCGTGTGGATGCTGGGAACTGAACCCAGGTTGCTCTTAGCCACTGAGCCATCTCTCCAGCCCCTTTATTTTTCTTTTTAACATTTTATTTGTTTGTTTGCTTGCTTGTTTATTTATTTATTTATTGTGGGGGTATGTGTACAAGAATATGTGCGCACACGCCACTGCATGTGGAGGTCAGAAGCCAGCTTTCAGAGACTTACAGGCCCAGCTCCTAACTCCTTGATGGCAGACATGGGGCCAATGAGCTTTCTCACACACCTGAGCCTGGGTACCCGGGTGCCTGAGTGCCAGGCAGATAGGCCCAGGTCTGGCCTGGAACAGCTTCCTGCTGCCCATTGAAGAATGTGACTGATCCCTGGAAGTTGCTTGAGGAGTCTCCTGGATCAGTTGCTTTCTCCTTGTGTAACAAAGGCAACCTAAGGAAAGGAAAGATTTACTTTGCTCATAGTTTGAGGCTACAGGGCATCACGGTAGGGAAGTCAGGGCTACTGGTGTATGGGGCGGCTGGACACATGGCGTCCGCCAACAGGAAGCAGAAAGAGATGAATGCTGCCACTCAGCTCACTTCTTTGTAGTCAGTCTAGGGCTTTCACCCACAGAATGGGATGCCCACGTTTAGGACAGGTCTTCCCACCAGCTAAACTGCCTCTGTCACAGGCACGCCAAACATCTGTTTCTATGGTGATTTTAAATCCCATCAAATTGACAACAAAGATTGACCATTATACCTTCCTGTGGATATATACAGATATGTAGGGCCGACACATATATCCATGAACCTAGAGGGAGGGTCAGCCTCTAAGGGCCTTGTCTGAGCTGGCAGGATGGCTCACTGCATCACTGGAGGCCTTTCCTCAGAGAGAAGCCAAGGCCTTCATGTTGTTACTCATGGTAGTGGAAGACTGGCCTCATCTTCTGAGGTCCTGGTGCCGAAACTGACCTGTGGATCAACTTCTTGCAGGAAAAGCTGACGGATTTGGCCCTCCCTTGTGATGTGTCTGGCATGGAGAAGCCACTGGCCCTGGGCATCTCTGGGAAGCCTCTGGGACTGCGAGTGACCATCACCATCTCTGTAGAGGACTCTGATGGAAAGTGAGTCCAGGGTAGGGGAAGCCACATGAAGGGCTGGCATTGCACAATGGTACTGGTCCCCTCTCCTCCTGAGCAAATTCCTGCAGCTGAGAGAAGGCTACCAGGTTGTCACAGGCCCTCGCTGTCCCTGTACAAACCACCCCTTCCACTCCATGCTGTGTGGCATTTCTGTACACACTGTGAAGCAGGCAGGAGATGGCAGGGGATCCTCAGTGGGTTTCCCCACATGAGGCCCAGAATCTTGGAACCATGCCATTCTGACCCCACCGGGCAGTTTGTGCTGTTGGAGTACTCCTCTGGCATTGTGGATTGGCAAGAAGGTTGGGCCTCGGGTCTGGCACTCCATGAGGAGGAAGTCCATATGAAGCTGGGTTTCAGGGCTACTCCCCCACCCAGGGTGGCTCAGTGGAACAAGAGTAGCAGATGACATAGTGCCCATGGCATGGGGCAATGCTGTCAGCAGGACACAGTGGCCAGGCCACCCGGAGGAGCTCCGCTTGGACTTTGGCTCGAATGTGCCACTGAGGACCCGTGTGACTCGCCAGCTCATCCTGACGAATTGCTCCCCGATACAGACCCCTTTTACCCTCAAGTTTGAGTACTTTGGGAGCTCCCAGGACAGTCTGAACAAAAGGACCAGCCTGTAAGTCTCAATCTCTTCCTGGGGCATTTCCCAGTGGGCACGAGGTCAGATGGGTTCTCCTCATTGGGATATTTTTTCCCCCTTGGAAGGATAGAGTCTGATTGGTGTGGGAGGGCAAGTCTGTGGTTCACAGATAGATGTAGGTAAACACACAGAGGAGATAGTTCTTACAGCCCACCTTGGGGACCCCAAGTTGACCTGTGGGAGAGGCCAGGCTTTTGAATCCTTCTTAGCTTGGCCTTGAATGTGGAGGGCTTCTGACACCAGGTAGGAAAGTTGGGTAAATGAGGGAGAGGCTCCTAGACAGAGGAACCGGGGGCAGAGGTGTGGGGTACGGGCTTAGAAATCAGGCTTGTCCTGGACACTGGCTCATGGGCCTGAGCTGAACGGTGTAGTGAAGTGAGGGAGAGCCGTCTAAACCATTAGCTCTGCTCCAGCATGACAGTGCATCCTGATGCCAGATGGGGAGCAGCTGGGGAGAGTGGAGCCTGTGGCAAAGGGTGCCCAAGATCTGGGGACCCAGAGCTGGGTTTGCCTCTGGGATAACAGATCTCTGGCTCAGAGATCATTCTGTGGATTTCCTGGGAGGCAATTTCTGTTACTTTAGAGGTAGCCTGCAGCTAGAGTTGCGCTGGATGGTAGAATTTTAAATTTAACAGAAATTTAAAAAGTGGTGAAGAGGGAACCAATGAGCTTCCCTTGAGAGGAGCAGGCTACCTTCCCATGAGCACCTGTCCAGATGTTTCTACCACGGGCTGCGGCTCAGGTTGTGGGAAGGACTGACTGCTTCGATGCTGTTTCCTGTCTCTGTGAAGCCCTGACATGCCCCCAGCTCTGCTAAAGACAGCACACATCCAAGAGCACTTGGCCAAGAAACAACAGCTGGGTAAGAGCCGCCAACATGGGGAGTGTTGGGCCCAAGCCATGGCCAGGGTTGGGCTTTACATGCCCATCTGAAGATGTGATGCCCCATTTGGGTACCAGCACCCGCCCGGGAGGGAAATGGGGACCAGAGACTCACCCCTCTCAGTGTATTCCTCAGTGACGTCCCCAACATGGCGGAGTCGGCAATGGACGTGGTTTTGTTTTGGGGCTGGTGGCAGCTCACAAGGGAGGGCTTGACCTCAGAGGAGGAACAAGAGACTGGCCAAGCAGGGCCAGTCTCAGCTGGCTTCCTGACGGGATGGAGGCCATGCAATGGCTCCACCAGGGCCAAGCGTTGCCAACTCCCGAGGATTTAGCCCTCACCCTCAACCCAGGGCCCTGACCCTCCTTGTCCTGTTCTCCCCAGACTTTTTGGAGAGCATGTTATCTCACAAGAAAGGAGCTGCTTTCATGCCCCACATTTCCCAGGGCATGCTGGGAGCCTACCAGCAGCTGAGTATTGACATCACAGCCTGTGCCAACATGTGGGGCGAGTACTGGGATGACCTCCTTTGCATGGTAAGGACGTGCATGTAGGCACAGGGTTCCTCGGCTCCTCTCTGCCAGCTGTGGCCCTCAGCTCTTCCACGTGCCGCTGCTGCCAGGTGCTGCTCGCTCACATCTGCTGCAGCTTCTGGGGTCAAGACTGAGATGCTCCCAGCAGAGTTCTCTTGTGTGGCAGAACCTTCTGGATTTCTGTGATACACAGGGCTGGGGCCACCATGAGGAGGCCAGGAGAGGGCTGGAGAGAACAGCATGGAGTCAAGAGAAAACAGTAACAGCTTCCCAGCACCGCACTCTTATCCAGCTTTCTACATTTGATCATTTGCTAGGCAGCCTATACACAACACACACACACACACACACACACACACACACACACACACACACACATACATACACACGCACACACATACACACACACACACATACACACACATGCACACACATACATACACATACACTCACATACACACACATGCACACACATGTACATACATACACACAGATACACTTGTATACACACATACACACACACACACACAGTCTTTAACAAACTAAAAGATATCTGAACAAAGGGGCCGCAGGAGGCCAGAGGCCCTGCAGCTAGTAGGTCAGTGGAGGGTAGCGGGCTGTGAAGGAAGGAAGGGCGGCCCAGGCTAGGGGTGTCTGGGTTAGGAACTGGCCGATGAGTGAGGCTGGGCTCAACAGGAGCCAAGTCTGGGGACCCTGGACTGGTTGGACAAGTGGGAGCTTTGCCTAAAAGAAATTCAGTGGCGGGCTGGAGAGATGGCTCAGGGGTTAAGAGCACTCACTGGCTGCTCTTCCAGAGTTCAGTTCCCAGCAACCCCATGGTGGCTCACAACCATCTATGATGAGATCTGGTGCCTTCTTCTGGCCTGCAGGCATACATGCAGTACACTGTATGCATAATAAATAAATCTTAAAGAAAAAAGAAAGAAAGGAAGAAAGAAATGCAGTGGCCCTCATTGACAAAGAGCTGATGTGTTTGCAGGTGGGGAACCTGCCAACAACTGTCATCCCAGTGTATATGGCCGTGGTGGGCTGCCCCATCAGCTCCCTGAGGAATACGTGCTACAGTGTGGCCCCATTCCAGAAGGAGCCTATCATCAGGTACCCAGTTTGAGTCCTGGTCTCTGACCCCTGATGACCCCAGAGCCCTCTGGCTGTTAGTCCGGGTTGTCTGTGCTGGCTCCTGGTTCTCCAGCTGGCTCAGGGCCACCTGAACCACCCACACGGAGGCTCTAGGGTGGGGCTGTCTTAGGGAAGAGAAGCCTTGGAGGATAGGGCTAACCCTTGTGTGTCTCTGGGGCTTGGGGTGGGTGGGTGGACAGAGAGTGATCCAAGGCAGTTCCAGACCCTAGGGCTGACATCAGGTCCATCTGATGAGCCCAGGCAGAATGTCAGCTAACACTCTGCAGCCCTGGGTCTTGGTGTTACTGAGACAAGGACAGGTAGCTGATACCACTCTGGCCCGAGGCCCACCCAGGACTCCTGCTCCCCAAGGTTGCACAGTTAGTTTATACTGAGTGTGCTGGCTCAGGCTGCTCTCTCCCTCCAGGTTTGGGACCCAGATCTCTGGAGGAGACAGAGTCATCAGAAATCTCCGTCTGTATAACTCCAGTCCCTGTGGTAAGTTGCTCGTGATGGTCAGGATGGTGTGTCTGGCAGGGAGAGGAGATGGCCTTGAAAGAACTGTCAGCTACAAACAGGACCCAGGAGTCCAAGTGGCCTGTGGCTCTTGAGACAGATGCAGAGGTCCGAAGTAGAGATGTGATTGTGTGAGTTCAGGCTTAAGTGAGAGGGAGGGACTTCCATCCTTGAGGACAGGACTCATCCTTGCTTAACTTTGTGTCACCAGGGTCACTGTGCCTGGGGACAGACACTTCCAGGGGCCTCTTTCCTCAGTCCTTCGGCCAGCAATACTTGAGTTACACAACAGGTGCACCCTCGGGGTGGGGATACTGAGAGAACAGGAGAAAGGGGTTTGTGCCCCGGGGGCTTCCATCCTGATGGCAGTGTGACCAGGTACCGGGGGCCTTCAAGGAGCCTCTGTACTTCCTTCTGGGGGACACTTGGTAGGGGTGCATGTGGTGATTTAAGGGAGAGTTGTGGACAACTCAGAAACCAGAGGTTTTAAACTCCGGGCCATTCTAAGGAAGGCACAGCCACAGTGAGAAGCAGGGCTCTGGACCTGCTCCTCGTGGGATCCCGCTGTTCTGAAGGGTGTATTACCAGCTCCACTGTCACCGTGTCCTGAAATCATGTCCCCCTCGTACTTCCGATAGATTTGGGTTGTATTTTTAGCTGCTCTATCATTAGATGCACTTGAGTACTGTATTGAGAGCTGCTGGTAGCAAAAGGCCATGGGAGTATACAGCAGGTGACAACAACTAGTGTTCAAAAGGTCAACCTATCAGAACCAAGGATTCTGGTAGAGGACTAAGCCATCATTCAAGGTGTGTTGGAGTTATTGTCTTTTGAATGAACTGGCTGTCGCTTGTTGTAAACTTCTTGTGCAATAACACCTATGATATCTCCCCATTATCATGTATTTTCATAAAATGTATATGTGTAATCTCATGATTACATCTCAATCTTATGGGCACATATATTTGTGGGTGGTCAGGAAGATGACTTTTCATTTAGGTGTATAATTTTGATATATAGAAATATACTAGGAGATGCTTCATAGCCAGATCCATTGTTCCATGAGACTGTAGACACTTAAAGCCCAATTTGTTTCTTTTGCTCAGACTAACACAGAAAATAATAATCTCTCCTCAGTCTAACACAAACTGCACACATTTAGGTCATTTTTACCTCAGAGCAAGTTCAAACTAGACTAAAGGCCTTTGTAAATAGATCATAAGTGTAAAACTTTACAGTTATGCCCAAGGTCAGAGTTATAGGTGTCTCACCAAGGTCACTAACACAAAACACCCTAAGGAAAGCCTGCCAATTCTTCTCTTGCCAAGTCTACTGATAAAAAGCTATGTCTCAGAGCACTGCGCTCCCTCGCTCTGGTCCTGAGACCTTGGAACCTTGGGTTACCACGGTAATGGTTCTGTTCCTTATCATCTATTCTAGGAATGAGCTATGACTTTGAGGATTTTGAAACTTTTCTCAAGATTGCAAGGAGTCTTGGGGGAGAAATGTGAGGAGTCAGGCAGGAGAGGGCTAAGAATGAAAACTGACTTAGAACAATAGAGTAAATGGACTGAGCACGGTGTGCGTAGATTCAATTGATACTCTTCAGCCTAGATCAGGGCAGGTACTGAGGGGGCTCTCGTTAGTACTGGCTTTTCTGCACACATGCTGGAGCCTTCTCTCATCCTCTTCTTCTGTTTTTCCTCTCTGGTCCCTTTAGTTTAATGCTGTCATGCTCTGGAGACCCCTCGCTTTGTGTGAACACGGTTGGCCTGGGTCACGTTAACATGGTTGGCCTGGGTCACATGAGTGTCACTAACTTGCTATCACTTTGATATGATTTGTTTTTGTTTTTAAGTTTTAAAATTAAATATATTTGTGTGTGTGTGTGTGTGTGTGTGTGTGTGTGTGTGTGTGTGTGAAGGGTCATGTGTGACAGGAGGCTTGGGGGGGCAGAGGACAATTTTAGGAGTCTGTCCTCTCCTCTGACATGTGGCTTTGGTAAACAGCAGGAGGCTAAGCTTTTGACAATCCTGAGATGACCTTGTCTATGGGATTTTTTTTTCCTTTGGTTGGTTCTGCAGTTGTAGGGAGTCGACTGAATGTCACTCATGCTAGAGACAAGGTCCCACTAAGTTGCCGAGGCTGCTCTTGAACTCACTCAGGAAAGCCCCGAACTGGGTAGGGATCACAGGCCTGTGTCACGAGCCCAGCTCTTCCCTTCTCCCTCACGGTTTCCTTCCTCACCACTCAAGATCTCTGCACATTGTTCAGGAGGTCATTGTGACTTGAGAAAAAGCAGACAGCAGGTGGACAGGAGATACAAGATCAAGAGCTTTGGGTGGGTCCTGAGGCATTCCTCAGTGCCAGGACCAGTGACACTGGAGATCCAGAAAGTCCATGCTAATTGACACCGAGGAGGTCATTGGATTATTGGTCCTGGTATCCTGCTGTGGAGAGGATCTGTGGCACAGCCAAGGAGATGATGCGGCTGAGGGAACTTTTGCATGGTGGGAGAAGTCTTAACTAGCTCTAGTGCAGTTAGGAAGCAGCTAGGTGGCGTGCAAGGACAGGCAGAGGACGAGGGCCCTGCACTTGGTGGTCACTGCTAGGTGGGAGCAGGATGCAGACAGGTACGGTCTGGGCCGCACTTCTGGCAGATGAAGTGAAGCCACCACTGGGCATGGTGGGACTCATAGGAGGCGTCAGAGGAGAGAGCAGGTGTGCAGGCAAGAAGGCAGTGAGGCAGCCCAGATTCGGGGAGCAATGGGGTGCACTCTCTTCAGCTTGGAGGACTTAACCAGTGCTATCTAGAGGGATGATGCAGGTGGTTCATCCAGAGTGCGGCTTTGCCTCAGGGGTAGAAGGATGGGAGTACAAAGGGAGGTAGGGAGTTCCTGGGAAGATAGCTATGAAGGAGAGGAAATGAAAACAGACTGGGAATGATGGACACATGTGGAGAAGGTGCAAAGTGTGGGACTTGGAGAGCCAGCCATCAGAGAGAAACCAGAGACAGGAAGCTGCAGGAAGCAAGGAGAGCCTCGTCAGGGGTTTGGACATGACGACTGGTCTTGTGACCAACCGTGAGGGCTTCGGGTAACTAAGCTAGGTGCCAGAAGCCTGGGAGACCTACTTGTGTTCCTGTATGTGTTTGTTGCATGGGTTCATTTATGTGTATGAGTGCATGTATGTTCAGGTGTGCTCACACGAGTGTGCTCACACGAGTGTGCTCACACGAGTGTGCTCACATGTGGAGAAGCCAGAAGACAGCCATAGATGTTGCTCCTCAGGTGCCGTCCACTTCACTGCTTGATAAGGGTCTGTGACTGTCCCAGGACTCAGCAGGTAGCCTGGACTGTCTCCTCAGAGCTAGGATTTCAAGCGTGTGCTTCCACACCCAGACTCGGTCCTTGGACACACACACTTGGTCCAGACTCGAGTCCCATGTGTGCAGTGTGTCCCAGTTTGCTCTCTGCTGTGGTGACAAAACCCCATGAAAAGAAAAATCACCTCAGGAAGGAGACGGTTTATTTCACCTTCCAGTTTACAGGCCACCATCAAGGAAAGGCAGGGCAGAACTCAAGGCAGGGACCTGGAGGCAGGAACTGAAGCAGAGAGTGTGGAGGAGTGCTTCTTGCAGGCTTGCTCCTCTTGGCTTATTCAGCTTGTGTTCTTATACAACCCAGGACCACCTGCCCAGGAGTGACCTTGCCCATAGTGGGCTGGGCCCTCCCACATCAATCATTAACCAAGAAAATTCCCCATAGACATGCCCATAGGCCAGACTGACAGAAGCGATTTCTTAACTGGGGATTCCTCTTCCCAAGCACCTCTAGTTTGGGACAAGCTGACAGAAACTAACCAGTTCACACAGCAAACACTTGACCAGCAGAACCATCTTCCCATCACCAAGAACTACTTTCTAAACGTGTGGCATTATAAAAATAGTGAGGTCCCCCTCTACCGTGAGTATGGGAGAAGAGGGAGGTGGAGGCCAGGAGAAGGCTACCCACTCTCTTTTTCCCTCCATGCTTTCCCCAGACATCCGCCTAGACTGGGAGACCTATGTCCCAGAAGAAAAAGAGGACAGATTGCTGGAGCTGCTTGTGTTTTATGGGCCACCCTTCCCACTGCGGGACCAAGCTGGGAAAGAGCTTGTGTGCCCCTCTGAGAGCAGCTCACCACAGTCCCCAAGTCCCTCCAATATGTCTGCGTCTAGCCATGCAGTCCTCTCATCGGTGAGCCAGAGTCCAGGGCATGTGAGATGTGGCCCGGGCCAGTTGAGCCCACATGAGTGGCAGGGTCTCGTTGGTAACAGGGTAACTGCAGTAGTGGTACCAGGACTGAAGAACAGATCATCTCAGTCATCCTGCAGGGGCATGAGGGAGCGCCCTCCAGCATGTACCACATCAGCCCCAAGCAGGTGGTGAGTAGGCAGGGGTAGGTGCTCATTGGTAGAGCTGCCCTGGCCTGCCAGTGAACATGGGGCAGGGCTGAGGCTGCTGCATTTCTGCTAGGTCATCCCAGCTGGAGGCAACAGTACCATCTACATCTCTTTCACTCCCATGGTGCTTGGTCTTGACACCTTACACAAGGTGGAATGCACTGGCTATGCCCTGGGCTTCATGAGCTTGGACAAGGAGGTGAGCCTTCCCACCTGGGGCGAGGGTGCCATGGCCACCTCCTCTCTCCTGGGAGTCACACTGCCTGCTCAGCCCTGGGACCACCAGTAATCTCTGATGGATTGGGCTCTGCAGACAGACAGAGAGATTCCAGGCCGAATGCGTCGCCTTCAGGACTTTGCAGTGGGCCCCCTGAGACTAGAGATGAACGGCCACATAACACTTGCGCAGTGAGTCAACTGGACCGCCCTCCCCCATCCCCATCCCTTTGAGAGAGGAACCTCACTTCACTGGTGGGGTTCTCAGAGCCAAAGGACAGGAATAGAAGGGAGGAGGAGAAGGCGGGGACAGGGAGGTGACGCTGGAGGACCCAGAGCATGACCCTAGCTGCCTGAGCATGCCTGTCACTGTGCAGGCTGAATGCCCAGCTGGACAGCAGTGGCTACTTGGAATTCCGGTGCCAGGCCAGTGACCTCATCCCGAAAAATCCCTGCTGTGGGGTAAGTATGCCGTCACCCCCAACCAAGTCAAAGGACTTGGACCTCCCATGTGCCTGTGGGTCCTTCTGAAGCACAGGCCCTTTCAAGTCTTGAGTCTCTTTCCCCGAGGAGTGGGAAGGATGCACCATGCCCCTCCTCCTCCCATGGCCCCAGGTGCTGAGTGACTGGTCTACCACCCGTCACCTGAAGCTGATCAACACCACGGAGATCCTGCACTACTTCCGGGTCCTGGTCTCCAAGCCCTTCTTCATTTCTCAAGGTGGAGCCAGGTGGGACAACAGAGACTGTCATCAGCACTGTGAAGAGGAGATAGCCTCCTCAGGCCAGCAGCTGATACTCCGCCCACAGGAGAACATTCTGGTCAGTGCAGGGGTGCGCCATCTCTCTCCCCACCTCTGCAGGCAACACATACCCGTATCCTGCCCACATCTGGGTACCAGGTACAAATGGACTGTCATCGGTCCATGCCCCAGACATGTCCCTTTCAACATACATAGTCCCTCTGCGCAGGTTATATACAGATAGACCTACAGCAATAGCCACATGCATTCCAGAAACACATCCAGACCCTCCAGTGTGTGTCCCTATGTACCACCACTGATGGCCTGGTGGGCACCCCCACTTCATACCATGCTCCATCCCTTCTCACGTGCCCTTGGGCTCAAGGTTTAATGCTTTGGCTTGGGGCCACCCGCAGTTGGACTGCCATGAACGTAAATCACTCAGAGCATAGGGTGTGGAGGAGCCTGGATTTTCAAAGGTGGGATAGCCCTGGGAATGTCAGGGCCTTGATGGTAACTGTGAACTTCTGCTTCCTTGGTTTGAGGTACCTGAAATGGGCATGGGACCCAGGCTTTGCAGACATAGGGCACGTGCGCAACCCTTTAAATAGTGGCTCCCTGGGTAAGCACAGGCTTGTCCAGGATGGACAGCAAAAAAACGCAGCCCCACCATCTCCCGCCTTCCCCCCTGCCTTGCAACTCCCTCTTCCTCCCCTCCTTGCAGCCCCTCACCCCTTCTGTTGATGGTCTGTAGAGCTCCAGCTCAGTGCCTGTCTTACCCGGCACATCTTGGGTCAGCTCGTCCGGCTCCTCCAGGATCTCACTGAGCAGCCACACACGTGCAGCTGTGCCTTCACTGTCTGCCGTGACAGCCTGCATGTGTTGCCCTGCAGGACTTCCCGGACCTTGCTTGTGGAGGTGGGGGAGCCAGAGTCCGCGCTGCAGATGGCAAGAGGGCTCTCCTGACCGCTCTGCCTGGGCTCCCTGCTGAGAGAGCTAAGGGCAAGGGAGGGTCCATCCCACTAGAGCTCCTCAGGAGACTCAGGGGTGACCCAGATGCTCCCAGAAAAAAAGGAAACATCACATAGTGGCCTTGCACCTTCCTCTGTGGGCGCAGTTGGGTGGCACCTGGGCATCTGGCTCCTGACTTGAACTCCTTTAGTTCTAGATCTAAACACACCCTGTAAATTTGAACTCACCGCTATCATGTCGTGTCCCATGTGATGTCTTCTCCATGTGGTGGCATTTTATCCTAGCAACCGCTCTCATCAGCCAAAGCTCTGAGCTCCTCCCCAGGACGACCTCTGACTTGGCACTGCTACCGGCCTTTCTCATCTTGGCCCTAGATGGTGGTTTCCAAACCAGGGAAAACCAGCCTTTAGAATGCCTGGGACAAGTACAAGCTCCCAGACCACCTTCAGTCAGAGCTTTCCTTGTGACAGTCAGAGCTGAGGTCCAGGAATACTAGTAGCAAATACTGATTCTGATGAGCTACCATGGAGCTGTCTTGAGGGCTAAGAGCCCAAGCCCCACTCTGTTTGGCGTGAGTTCCAGTCTCTGGTCTGCTGTTCTCAGCCCACTCATGTTCCACAGCCCAACTCCCCACTGTAGCCAGAGGAGGTCTCTGTCCTGCCAGCAACTTCCAAATACCCAGCAGTCGCTTCCCAAATAATTGACTCAGAAGCTTAATATTACTTATAAATGCTTGGCTGGTAGCTCAGGCTTATTACTAACTAGCTCTTACTTGGTACCTTTTCTCAGTACAGCATTCTCATCTTGCTTCTACTGCATCTGCCTGGAGACTCATGCCTCCTCCTCCTCCTTCCTATCATTCTGTTTGACTTTCCCACCTCACTTCCTGCACAGCCACCAGCCAATCAGTGTTTTATTAAACCAGTTGGAGTGACAAATCTTTACAGTGTCCAAGAGAATTACTCCACAGCACCCCAAAGCAGCCAGAGGCTCCGTGGAAGGAAAAACTGCCTAGGATGTCTCATTTCAGATCCTAATAGGCCCCTCATGTCCTCAGGATAAAAACAGTCTTTCCTTGGCCCATACACAACCTCAGCCCAGGTCACCCTAAGTGAGAAGGGCAGGTTCCTTGCTCTATCCCCTCCAGGAGACTCCCAAGGACAAGGAAGGCTGTCTTCTATGCTGACTAGGTGCTGGGCACACAGCAGGCCAGTGCAGGGCTTGGGGGTCACATGCTGCACATGGGGGTACTGCTGAGCTGTGTACTGGGCAACTGGGACACTCTGCGCTCCACAGGCCCCATAAGCTAGGGGCTGAACAGGACCTGACCGGACCAGCAGGCTGCCTGCCTTCAGGAACCTGGGGTGACACTGTGTCCACGTCTGCTCAGGTGGATGTGTCCTTCTCACTCTCCCTGGAACTGCTGTCCTACCAGAAGCTCCCAGCAGACCAGATGCTGCCTGGAGTGGACATTCAGCAGAATAAGAAGGGGGAGAAACAGATGGTGTTCACAGGGAACCTGCTCCTGGGCTTCACCAACCAGACTGTTCAGGCATGTTCTAGGCTCCCTCCTGCCATTTCTGCCCCCTGGGGAGGAAGATGGCACCTTGGCCCGAGAGTGAGGGACTGGAGGGGGATATCTGGTTTGCTCCCTGGAGGAGGTGGCAGGTAAAGCCTGTTTCCTGTTTAATCAAGAGAAAACGGAAATACATAGAGAGACCTAGGGTATGGCCTCATTGGTGGGGACAGTGGGCACCTGAAGAAGCTGTGAGGGACTCTGCTTTACTCCTGTAGGGCTTTGAGCACCACTGAGCAGGTCACACACTGGTCAGTGTGGAGCTGAGAGTCAGAGGGGCCTAGCTGGGGGTGCAAGTAGGGAGCTAAAGGACAGACCTTATGAGAAGCCAGAGAGACCAGAAGCAGAGCAGAGTAGTGGGACCCTGCAGCCTGGGACCTGGCAGCAGCTGGGGCCGAAGAGAAGTGGACCATGGTAGTGCCTGAGTGATTCCTGGACTTCTGAGAGGCCCCAAGCAACTTGACTCAGGGTCTAATGGGTTGAGGGGTGTGCCTTGGACCCCAAAGGAGGAGGGAGACAAGGAGGGTGATGGAGGTCTTGAAGGGTGGATGGCTGACTGACCTATCAACTGGGAGCACAGCGTGAGCTCCCTAGGAGGGAGGCTGGCAGAGAAGCCGGGAGTGTCCTTCCGGCCCCGCAGAATTCCACCTGCCCCTCTGGCTTTGGTGGCATGTTCAGAAGTGTCAGTACTTGGGGGCGGTGGGTTTCCCTGTGTCCCAGGACCCAGTTCAGAGCACTACCCCAGCAGGCAAGGATGGGTCATCCCTCACTGAGTCGCGGGCTCGGGCCCCCAGGAGGTCCCCCTGCGGGCTGTCGTGGCTGTGCCAATGCTGCAGCTCTCCACCAGCTGGGTGGACTTCGGGACCTGCTTCGTGAACCAGCAGCACACCCGGGAGGTCTACCTGATGAACCTCAGTGACTGCCTGAGCTACTGGACGGCGCTGATGGGTATGTTGTCATCCTGCCCCATGCTGCTGCTCCTTGATGGGACTGAGCAAGACCTCTAAGAAAGACTGCGGGGTCCCGTCCGTGTAGACTGGCTCCCTAGGGCAGGTGGCACCCGACAGTCCTGGAGTCCACCAGTCCTCCAGTTCCTGGTTGCCCTGTCCTGGGTTGCTGGAAGGACCAGAGTGACACCTGAGAGGCTGGTCTAGTCTGGGGGACAACATCTGGACAGCCTGTGGCCTCCTTTCTTCTCAATGTAGGACCGGAGGAACCGGCTAGGGAGGATGATGCCTTTGGGGTCTCCCCAGGCAGTGGGCTGCTGGAGGCCCGACCCACCAACGCACCCCCAGTCTCCATTCCCCTTCAGGTGCTCTTCAATCCTAGGTAAGAGCTGCTTCCTGCCTCTGGGGCACCGCCCGTGGGGCCTGGGCACTGGCTGGCACTGCCTAACCCCACTTCCCCTTCCCCAGGAGCAGCCTGCTGTACGAGTCCACAATGACAGTGGAAGGTGTGCTGAGTGAGAAGCCTTGCACCCTGCGGCTGCGGGGCCGAGGCTCTCACGATGAGAGATATGTGATACCCCATGAGTTCTGAGGCTCCGCCACCCCTGCCCCAGCTTGGACATCAGTCTGGCTCAGGGCTGCTAAGCAGGGACACAGGCTATGGGGCTGGAGTAGCTCCTCGGATGAGGGATCTCCTTTCAGACAATGGTGTCAACCATGCCCTGCATGACAGGTCTCTAGGGCTAACCAGCATAGGCCACCACCAGGGTGACTGTGACACGTAATCATTACAAAGATGGACCCTGAGTGAAATGACTGCCACTGGAATCAGATAGCACACATTTACTTTGCCCAACATACCCATCATTCATGAGGACACTGTCCCACAGAAACAGACCTTGTTCTGTGCTCAAGAGTAATCTGCTGACTGTGGTCCAGCCGAGAGGACCAGACCGATGGCCCAATGCCCACTTGTCCCCATACTGTGATCACATCTTCTAAATTAAAGTGCTGTGACACCCCCCTCCAGTGCTGAGTGTCCCATGCAGGTGGCTTCTGCAGAGTCCCTCTCTGGCCACCACTGTAGGACTCTCTGGGCGGTGCCTGCAGCCAGGGCTTCAGTTCCCAGGATATTCAAAGACAGCAGCGGCTCCCATCCCCGTCCCGATGCACATGGACACCACTCCATAAGCCCTGGGGAAAAGAACCTGCGTTGGCTGGGCAGAGCTTGACCCCAGCCCATGCCCCCACCAGGCAGAGCTGCGTCTTATAGACACATGAGCAGAACAGATCTGTGGAAACTGAGCCCTAGACAGACACACACCCAGGTGGCAGACACCTTCCATAGGTTATGCTGCCTTTTAAGCAAGCCATCAGGAAGACAAGTCTCACCACTCCATCCCTAGTTCAGAACACCTGTGTGTGCTCACCTCCCCAAGCCCCAGCTACCTGACACCCCAGCTCGAGCATCCCCACAACACTCCACAAGCAGCAGCCTTACCGTTTCCCACGACGCTTCAGTTCATTGAGCAGCGTGACCACCTGCCTTGCCCCAGTGCAGCCCAGGGGATGGCCCAGGGCTATTGCACCCCCCAGGGGGTTCACCTTCTCTGCAGGAATCCCCAGCTTCTCCACACAGTAGAGGGCCTGGAAGGAGCCGGAGCAGTAGCTGAAGCCCCCATCTGCTCTGAACCACTGGCCCAATCGACCCCACCATGACGCCCAGGCTCACCTGACTTGCAAAGGCCTCATTGATCTCAAAGATGTCTATGTCATTCACAGTCAGCCCTGCAGGCAAGATACAGACCAGAGCTGACAGCCACAGGCAGGACTCTGGATTCCCTCTGGGCTCCACCCCAAGTGCGGCTCTAGTGGTCTACTGTGTGTGCCAGGCGAGGGTGTTCCAAGGGTAGGTTAGGAAGGCCTTGGATGTGCGGTGCTAGCCTGACCCACCTTCATTCCAGAGCACCCACAGGGTCAAACCCAGCACACCCCAGTCCCAGATACAGGGAATGAGGGGTCCAGGTCCAGGATGAGAAGGAGCCGCCTCACCTGCTTTCTGCAAAGCTGCAGGGATGGCATAGGCAGGACCGATGCCCATGATGTCAGGAGGGACACCGACCACCGCATAGGACCTCAGGACCCCAAGGATGGGAAGGCCCAATTCTTCAGCCTTGGACCTCCGGGCCAGCAGGACGGCAGCTGCTCCATCGCTCACCTGACTGGAGTTTCCTAGGGGAGGAAGGGTGGGACAAGGAGGCATCAGGCCGAGCTGAGGAGAGCCAGCCCTCCACCATCACTTTGCCAAGGGGCCTGGTCAGCTCCAGTTCTCAGAGTAGAACAGGCCACTTCCATCAACCCTATTCCTGGCCCACGCTCACCAGCTGTGGTAGAGCCTCCATCCTTGAAGGCAGGCTTCAGCTTGGCCAGGCCCTCCATGGTGGTGCTGGGGCGGACACCCTCGTCCTGGGACACAGTGATGATTTTTTTGTTGCCCTTGTCGTCGAGGACAGCTGTTGTCACAGGCACGATCTCAGCTCGGAAAGAGCCCCTGCTCTGGGCTCTCGCTGCCCTGCCAGCACCATGGACAGCGACTCTCAGGCCTAATTGTGGCCATTTCCTGCCTGTCCCTGGCCTTTGCTAACTCAGGAAGACACAGAGCTTTAGGCTGTGCAACCCAGGGACTGCTCTGCCCCCTGATGGAGCTGCAAGTGACTGGAGGGCTCCTCAGGACACCACCTTCCTCTGGCAGGGAAAGGCATGCCAAAGCTTTCCTCGACTCTTCATCTTCAGCTCCAGACTTTCCCCATCAAGAGCAGGACATTTAGAGATGCTGTTCTGTTTAGAGCTCTTCATTCCCTAGTCACTCAGCCTGCTCAGCGGTCTCTTCCACAATAAGGCTGGTGCTTCCCCTGGCCTGAGGCTCTGGTTTTCTTGAATGGCACACTCAGGTCACCACTCCAGGCCCAGGTCTGCCTCTTATGCTAGGAGGACTAGGTTTTAGCACCACTGGTCCCATACTGCAGGCTTGAGGATCACCAGTGGCCACCATGTCTGGTCAGAACAGGGTCCTATTCTTTATGTCGCAAGGAATGGGGTGGGAGAAGGGCTGAGGCCCAGTTAGGGGAGAGGGCACTGAGACCTCAGAGTGTACAGCTAAGGAGGACTGAGACGACCTCCCAACAATGGTGATGAACCTTTCCACCTCCCACCTAGAGGCATGAGGCTAGTCAACACTTTTACATCACCTTGACAGCCCAGCTCAGGCCACTCTCCAGCCCTATCAATAGCCCATCCTCGCTGTACTCACTTCTGCTGGGAGGCCAGAGCGAAGGCATCCTGCTTCTGCCGTGAAATGCCAAACCGCTCAGCCACGTTCTCCGAGGTTATCCTAGACACAAACAGTAAAGCAGGAGGCTGTGGGTCTGCTGGCCTGAGAGCCAGGGCCATACTGAAGGCCTGTGCCTGCTCTTCTGGGCATCCAGGTCAGAGACAGGGTTTCCATCCATGTTCCAGGGACAGAGGTAAGGACTCAGAAGGTGGCGCTCCTGTCCCATAGCAAGCTGCACCCATGCTGGTCAGACCCTCAGAGGCACATAGCAAAGGAAACATTTTTTATGGGGACAGGCAGCCTGTGTGTGAGACCTGCAGAGGGCATGGTCTCCTGCCCAGTCACATCCCAAGGACAGGAGCAGAGGTGCTGGGCACACTAGCTGGCCAACTTGATCAACTTCTCCTATGACTCTAGGATGCCTTTGGAGAGAGGGTCTGGACAAAGCCAGATCACTGCCCACTGCAAGCCTTTCTTCGTATGGCCATGCAGCCAGGGATCCCTGTCCTTGGATGTTG